TGGCTATGTAGTTACAGTGGGCTCTAGCACTTAGATTTATATCTCTTAGATCTAGCACTTAGAAAAAATATTTAAATAATTTTATCCATCCTGATCAAAATGGATTTCTGCCAGAGACAAATTAAAGACAATATGAGAGTAATCTTGGACACCTTGGAATACTACGAGGCACATCCTGAAAAACAAATGGCTCTGATATTTCTAGATGCACAGAAGGCATTTGATAATGTGAATTGACGATTCATGTTATTACTGTTAGAACAGATGGGTTTTGCTAGAAAATTTATTCAAGCAATAGAAGCTATATACTATAAGCAAATGGCAAAGGTAATGATAGAGGGAGAACTGACAGACTCTATTAATATAAGAAAAGGAACAAGACAAGGGTGCCCACTGTCACCTCTGTTGTTTGTGTTAACTTTGGAAGTGTTAAACAGAAATATTAGAGATGAAAAGAATATAAAAGGAATGAAAATCAAAAAGGAAGAATTTAAGCTGCAAGCATTTGTGGATGATCTGGTTTTCATCTTAGAAGACCCTTTAGAAACAGCATCAAAATTGATAGAAAAGATAGAGACATATGGAAAGGTGGCTGGTTTGAAAATAAATAAAGATAAGACAAAGATTTTGACAAAGAATATGCTATTAAGACAAAAGGAAGAACTGGCAGACCTATTGAAAATTCAGGTCACGAATAAGATCAAGTACTTGGGGATATATTTGACAGCAAGATGTAGTACATTAAAAGAGAATAATTATATTAAACTTAAACAGCAGATAGCGCTAGATTTGGCGAAATGGGAAAACTTACAACTGTCACTAATAGGGAGAATTTCAACAATCAAGATGAATATATTACCCAGAATTTTATATTTGTTTCAAACAATTCCAATTAGGCTTGGAAAAGACTACTTTGAAGATTTAAATAAAATTGTGTTGAAATATATATAGCAAGGTAAGAAAGCGAGAATAAAGTTAAAACTTTTGCAAGATGCTAGAATTAGAGGAGGATTTGGTTTGCCTAATTGGGAGTTGTACTACCAAGCTACAAATTTGATGTGGGTTAAGGAATGGATAACAGTTTGCGGGAGAGAAAGGAAGACTTCTGCTGCTTCCGCTATTTCCTTGCATGAAGCCAAGTCTCTTTCTCTCCCCCCCACCACCCCCGGAGAATGAAGCTGGAGATGGCATCCTACGATCCCAAATAAAGAATGATCAATCGGTAGGAAAACGGGGTGGGGAATTTTCCTGCAGACTTTTTTGGGGATTTTCCCAGGGTCTCTGACCCACGGGATTTAAAATTATGAGTTTGGTGATCCCTCAGGTCCAAAAGGTTGGTGACCCCTGCTCCAGATCATTTCAAAGCCTAAATCAAAAGGAAGTCCTTAACGAGAAAACCAGTGAAAAACTATGCCTATTCAAGCCACTTTAATTAGATTTCTAATACCAGCGGGTATCAGTAAACTGAGGCAGGAAAAAAATCAGGTTTGGTACCTGAGAAAAAGGGATGGTACGGCCCTACTGGCGTCACAATCGCATGAATGAATAAGTACTATAAAAAATTTTATGCCCCTTCGATCATTAGACTTTAAGCAGCTTGAAAGCAACAAATTGGCAATTAGATGTACTTTATTGCTTCATCATTATCGGGCTAGGCCTGCTTGAGACAAAAGTACTTTATTATCTTAGCCCATTCTGTTTAATCAAGATAGGGATAAATACCTGTGGTTATTTCAAACTGGGCTGCTATAAAACCAGCTAAATCATGTCTTTTTGCTCATGGTGAGTTGGCCTATGAAAATAGTCTGCAGTTAGTGAAATGGGACATTATTCAGGGTGCCCTCTTTTGAACGACCTAACCCAGGTTCCGCCAAGCCACTTGCCTCTTCGTATCATTTTTTGCAATCTATAACACACTCGCTGCAGTCAATTGCTACCATCACCCTGATATGCTGAGAATGAAGAGGAAATGATTAATTTGAAGAAAGCAGAGAAAGAAATGAGGAAACAACAGTATTCTCTTTAACAGATTTGACAGATAATCAGAGTTGGAAGGGACTTGTAGGTCATCTAGTCCAACCCCCCGCTCAAGCGGGACACCCTATACCATTTCTGACAAATGGCAGTCCAATCTCTTTTTGAAAGACTCAAGTGATGGTGCTCCCACAACTTCTGAGGGCAAGCTATTCCATTGGTTGATTGTTCTCACTGTCAGAAAGTTTCTCCTTATTTCCAGGTTAAATCTCTCCTTGTTCAGCTTCCATCCATTATTCCTTGTCTGGCCTACAGGTGCTTTAGAAAATAGCTTGACCCCTTCCTCTCTGTGGCAGCCCCTCAAATATTGGAAGACTGCTATTGGTCCTTTTCTTCCCTAGACTAGCCAAGCCCAGTTCCTGCAACCGTTCATTGTATGTTTTAGCCTCCAGTCCCCTAATCATCCTGGTTGCTCTTCTCTGTACTTTTTCTACAGTCTCAACATCTTTTTTATAATGTGGTGAACAAAACTGGATGCAGTACTCTAGGTGTGGTCTTACTAAGGCTTTATAGAGTGGTATTAGTACTTCCCTTGATCTTGACTGTATCCCTCTGTTAATACAATTTAGGATTGCATTAGCTTTTTTGGCTGCTGCTGCACACTGCTGGCTCATATTTAGCTGGTTGTCCACTAAGACTCCACGATCCCTCTCACAGTTACTGCTCTTGAGCCTGCTTTCACCCAGTCTATATGTGTACTCTTGGTTTTTCTTGCCTAAGTGTAGGACTTTACTTTTCTCTACATTGAATTTCATTTTATTAGATATGGCCCAGTGTTCTAGTCTGTCAAGATCCATCTGGATCTTGAGCCTATCTTCTTGGATGTTAGCTATTCCTGCCAGCTTAGTATCATCTGCAAATTTGGCAAGTTCCCCTTCTATTCCCTCATTTAAGTCGTTAATGAAGATATTGAAGAGTTCTGGGCCTAAGACGGAACCTTGTGGCACCCCACTGCTTACTTCCCTCCATGTAGACTTAGACCCATTAAGGACTACTCGTTGAATACGGTTTGCCAGCCAATTGCGAGTCCATCTAGTGGTGGTGCTATCTATTCCACTTTTTTTCTAGCTTACTAAGAAGTAGGTTGTGGTCTACTTTTTTGAATACAGCATATTATGTCCACAGTATTTTGCTGGTCTACTAATTTAGTCACTGTTGAAGAATGAAATAAGATTGGTTTGGCATGATCTGTTTTTAACAAACCCGTGGTGACTGATAGTTATTACTTTACTTGTTTCTAGATGTTGGCAGATCTGTTTTTTTATTATCTTTTCCAGTATCTTCCCGGGTAATGATGTTAGCTGATTGGTCTATAGTTTCCTGGGTCTGTTTTTTTTTCCCTTTTTTGAAGATGGGAACCACATCAGCTCTTTTCCAGTCCTCTGGTAGTTCCCCGGTGCTCCAGGATTTTTGAAAGATATGGTGCAGTGGTTCTGAGATGACTTCTGCCAGCTCCCTTAAAACTCTGGGATGTAATCCATCAGGCCCGTGATTTGTTTTCATCAAGATCAGACAGGTGTTCTCTTACTATTTTTTTTGCTTATTTTAACTTTTATTTCTGGTCTGTCTTTTACAGTTATGTTTTTGGTGGGTTGAGCTATAATTTCTTTTTGCGTAAAGAATGAGTTAAGCAATTCTGCTTTCTCTCTGTTGCCTGTTACTTCTTTGCCATCTTCTCTCTTTAGTGACCGACTGTTTCCTTGATTTTTTTTTCTTGTTATTTATATGTTGGAAGAAACTTTTTTTATTATCTTTGACTTTTGTTGCAAGTCTTGGTTTGTGCTGAGCCTTTGCTATCTTGACTTCATCTTTGCAGATTCTGGCTATCTGCTGATATTCTGCCTTAGTTCTATGTCCCTCTTTACATTTTTTTGTACTTGTCCTTTTTTTCTTTCAATTTGCCAGAGAGATCTTTGTGCAGCCATGCTGGTTTCTTCTTGGATTTCTTGTTTTTCTTTCTCAGTGGTATTGTGCCGGTCTGGGCTTCTATGATCATACATTTCAGAGTTTCCCAAGATTCTTGAGTTGTTTTCCCCTGTAGGATTTTCATCCATGGAATCTTTGCAACCACCCCTAACATCTTCATTCACTTCCTAGTTTCTACAACTATGTAGAAACTTCCTAGTTTCTACAACTATGTATGAAATTTAGACTTCATGGCTGAGAATGCTAAAGTACAATTGGTTTAAATTTCTTCCTCTGAGGTCTAAGAGCTGAAAATTTGGAAATCCAATGTTTTGTCCTTCCATTAACTTCTAAACTTAAAAAGGCTTCAGTGAAAGTTGAATAATTGCAAACACTAGTTATAGAAGGAAAAACAGAGTTGACCCCCTTTCCTTGTCTTGATTTTAGAGCTTTTTACAACACAGGTTTAGATTACTCTGCCCACTGTTCATTTCTGATCCTCGGGCCTTTCAAATTTTATTAAGAAATGCTTTGCCAGTGGGTTTATCAGCATAAATTGTAGGCACATTTTTCTACTATTGCTTTGCTATAAAAAGATACCATTTCTTTTAGTACAAAAAAGGCATACATTCTGGTCTTTCTGACCCAGCAGTTGTTTATGCATGGCTAGTAGCATGTGTGGCTACTAGACTTGGGTGGCAAATACCCAGACAACTACTAGATAGCAGTCAAGGCAGTTTTATGCATCTTTTCACTGCCCTCTAATGGTCATCTCAGATTTTGCAGCCTAGTTCAAAAGCCCTTTAGAGTGTTTTCTATGGTAACTTTGATTATGAAGGCTGCTCTACCAATAGCAATAGCACTGAGACTTATACACCACTTTATAGTATATTACAGTCCTCTCTAAGCAGTTTACAGTCAGCATATTGCCTCCAACAATCTGAGTCCTCATTTTACCCACCTCGGAAGGATGGAAGGCCGAGTCAACCTTGAGCCAGTGAGAACTGAACTGCCAAACTGCAGGCAGGCTGGCAGTCAGCAGAAGTAGCCTGCAATACTTCATTCTAACTACTGTGCCACCATGGCTGATCCAGTATCTGATTAGCATTTTGTTATCCTCAATAGTTTCTTTTCTCAGTTAAATTGTTTTGCAAAACTTTTTTTCCCTATGCATCAGTTTTCACCAAAAGGAATCTATTTATAATCTGTATAGGATCTCACCAACTTGCAAAGGAAAAGTTACATTAAGAGTGGACTGCTTCCTATTTAATGGCTTCACACAGGTAAATGATACAGTTTGTATACATAACAATGAGAAAGACAGAAGGACAAAAATTATTAAACCAAAGAAGGCAAGTAAAAAGCATTTGGACAAACACACCAAAAGCCACCCAAGACAAACTTTCTGTTATTGTAGAAATAGAATATACATTTCTATACAACAATCTGTATCCAAACTTTATAACACTGGAATATCCCCGAATCTTAAACTTGAACAAGGGAAGCAGTTTTGCTCACAGGCTTAATGCAATGGTGGGTTGTGTTGAAGAAAGCTGAGTGAAATCTACAATACTAAAATACAACATAGCAATATAATACACTCAAATATCATACCAGTTTTTAATGCTGCCAGCGCATTGATTAAAAGAATATAAGAATCCCCTTCCCTTTTACAAACCACGTCCTTCATTAAAAATGCCTTCATAATTTTAAGATCAGTGTACCAACAAAAGTAATTCAATGCAGAACCCTTCATTTTTCATTAATCGTATCCATTACAAACCACAGCAGCATAATAGAACAAAACCAGAGCCATATACATATACATAGATATGTCTACAGCAACATATGCATGAGTGTGTATGTATTTCACTGCATAAAAAATCTGCAGCTGAGAGTTTCAGTAGATCTTTGTATTTTTTTAGTCAAAAGACATAGAGCAAATATGATTATTCTAACTACAGGAGTTCTTCAGGCTTTTGAAAACTATTTGCACAAGAATATAAACCACAGAACAAACAGGAATGATAATGAACCTGAGTAAACTCTATTCAAATAGAGGCAATCATTCATTCAATAAATCAATATTGCACTTTTAAATAAATCTTCATCACAGAAAAGAACACAAAATACAACCAGGACAGGAGGGGTACCCACCCCACCAATGCCACACACCGTTACAACAATTGTATGCAAACCACAGTTAAAGCTACATAGCTTTTCTCCTCCCCTAAGGATGCCACTTGTGGTCAGTCCTCAAGATCAACTGAAGTGACAGCTTTCAAGTGATAATCTTATAACTTAGATAAGCCGGTTCGCTCTGAAATGGGCCCTGAAAATGACCAATGTTGTTTTATTTTGCATGTGGTGAACCAATCATTACTATTCTTCTATAAGTATCTGGAAACCTGAGAACGCATGGAGGGTGTATGTGCGATCGACTTAATGGGAAATCACACATGAGTTTATTGCTACAGTATTCAGTTTGCAACACAATAACAAGTTTTAAAGTAGCTAGTTAGTTAGGTTTAATTTGGGCTCTGATTCAGAAAAAGGCAAATCCAATCCTTGGTTTGACTTTGAGATCTGAATATGAAACTTATTTATGCAAATTTCAATGTCTCCACTGAGTGCAACTGGAAACCAAGTTCTGTTTATGTCTTTTGCCTTTCTAAAGTAACTTCGTGAAAATTGAAAGAATGGTAGGGTGTTTTTTTGTTTTTTTTTTGCCTAGGTGCAGCAAGGGAAAGATGCAACTCAAATTTGGCCTCTTTGAGAAGTGTAGAAGCCTCTGAGGAGCGAACAATACTTTTCCTCTAATTGGAAACTTTTCAAATTCTCCTCTAAATCATCCAAAATGAAACCTGAGAGCAAATTTCAGATCATTTGCAAACGTGTCAGCAGATGAAATGGGAGAAGGCTGGCTATCTCCTCCCAGAGACTTCCTGCTTATACTCCCACTCGTTTCAGCAAGGGATGCTGAAAATTGGCCATTTTTTACTGAACGTAAGCCGTGTAATGGTGAAGAGATGGGAGCCAGATGTAAAATCTGAATGTAGACTACCCCCCCCCCCGCCGTGATAAACAATGGAAGCTTCTCAAATTTAAGACAAGTAGGTAAAAGAGGAGTTGTGCTAGGCATATTGAAAGACTACTTTTTAAAATAGAAAAAAAAATGCTTGTTAAAAATCTTTTGGAAGATCTGAATAACACGCTATGATTGAGACACTTGAGTGATCATGGTAAGGCAGGAAGCCGTACCGATATTCTCAGGTCCCATAAGCTCCACCTTTGATATTCCTGCTTCTGCATGGAAAAGTACTACAGTAATCCTCGACTTATGACCATAATTGAGCCAAAAATTACAGCCCTAAGTTGTTGCAGTCATTAAGCAGGTCATCACTTGATTGGACATAATTTTATAACTTTTTGGCAGCAGTTAAGTGAATGCCATGATCGTTAAGAAAATCCATTTTACCCAATGTGTGTAGGGGAAGGAGTGAAAAAACCTGGAGGCAGAGTCAAAAGGGTCTCTACATAGCCACAAATGAACTAAATACAGCCCCTCTTGAATTTCCTTTCCCTCTACCTAACACCAAGAGAGTGTTAACCATTAGTTGAGTAGCTTCCAATGCATATAGGTGATTAGTAATCAGTTTACCTGCAACTTTATTTGTGGCCTTGATCTTTTCTGCCTTCCTTTTGGAAAGTCTATGGTAACTGTGAATAGTCACTAAGCAACCGGGCATAAATTTGTAACCATTTGTAGTTTAAGGACCATGCAAAATGACGAGAGCACTGAAAAAAAGTGACTGTCCTTGCACTTATGACCACTGCAATGCCCCTATGGTCATGATTAAAATTTGGGCACTTGGCAACTAATATGTATTTATAATGGATATAGGCTTAGCCAATTGCAATTTGAAAACTTCCCAGGGACTTCTAATAAGCAAAACCAATAGGAGAACCGGGATTTGCTTAACAGCTATGGCAATCCATTTAACAACTGAGGCCAAAATGTCACAAAATCAGGCAAAATTCAATACTGCATCACTTAGCAAAAGAAGTTCTGGTTCAACTGTGGCCATTAAAGCACTGATTACTGGAGATATTACTTAAAACTTTTACCCTGAAGAACTATGAATTGAAAAAACTTGATAAAACTTATTACATTGATTAGAAATTAAAGTTGCCAATCCACTCACACACCTTTTCCATCTTTGCATTATTAGTTGCATACCCCTAACAATTAAACCTGAGGTCATAAGTATCAATGGCTACTTGGACATCCCTTATTTTTTTACTTAGAAATTAGCATATTTTCACAAAGTAAAAGCTTGACTTCCTTTTGTTTCACAAACAACTGCCATTTCTCAATACCATTTTCTTTTGTGGTGTCCATACTATTGTCAAATGTGATCAGCTATTCACAAGTATTGCTAAGCATACAAATTATGACAATAGATGAAATTTCTAATCATTATACATATTCAAGTGAAAAGGTAATAAGGACACATAAGACTGAGGTCAAAGAAGAAAATGGTGCTCAGAAACAGAATAATCAGGATCTTCAAAGGGCATGGAAAGAGTACTTTCACCATTTTTTTTAGACAAGTGGGAAATATTTTCAATGCATGAAAATAAAATTGGATAAATTTTAATTTACCCCTATATGAAAACCTTGTCCTTCTTATAAAGTTAAAATATGATACGATAGTTATTGTGCTCACAAGATCAAGCAAATGAATTCTGCAACAAACCTTCCACAGAATAAAGTATCATAAAATGAATGGTTGCTACTTCCAGAAGGAAAGAATAAGCATAGGTATTCCAGATTTTAAAAATGGAAAATAATCATATTCAAATGTTAGACATCATCTGAGAATTTCAATACAAAAATATAGATCTCTGATTATTTTGTCTTTAGCAAAATAGAAAGGCACAATTACATAATAAAATATCCTATTTATAAAAGGTTTATGTGTTCCCATTTTAAATAAAATGAATTTGAGAAGTCACTTTGGAATTTAAATGTTAAAGTGACCAATATATCATTAACATTTCTGGAACACGAACAATAGAATCAGTATCCTAGGAAGTCTGAACATGAACATGTTAAAAAAATAATTTAAAAGTGTCTGTATTTTTCATTCTTATTATTCAGCCAACATTAATTTCACCAATAATATTTTGTTTTATCAATCCTCAATGCAAAAATTCTCTGCAAAATACAGTATAGATTTTTTTTTCTTTTAACACTATATTGAATCCACAGTTTCCTCTGACAATTTAACACGTGCATCTTCAAAACAGGTGCTGAAGTCTTTGTGTATATATAAAGTCATACAAAAGCAGTGCATATTCTTTCTGTCCTCTGCAAAAGGTCCAAATGGGAAGCAGATCATGCCTTCCTAGTTATACATGGTAGCCATTTGCCCTCCCAATGTATGGTGATGATGGTGTGAAATTCTCATAGATTGCCATGGCATCTGTGTTCTGATAGATGAGATCCATTTTCTTCTCTTTCTTAGATTTAATAATATCCATAACACAGTGGTTTAGGAAGACATATTGGTCCTAAGAGGGGGGAAGAAACAACGCAATTTTAAACATAGGTTTTAGAAGATGTATCCATCAGTTTAAAGAGAAAAATGTACATATCTAAAAACAATCATGACTAGGGTTGTACTCAGATTGTATATCTCCAAACATACTACAAACTCTACTTACCTCAAACATACTGCTACATACTCAGAAGCACTTTGGAGATTGAATCCAAAGCACTCTACAGACCTAATAATAATGACATACTGGTAGTCCTTGCTTAGTGATTGTTCCAAATTATGTCAGACCTGCCCAGAGTTACTTATGGCCCATTTTTGAAGTTTTGAAGTTCCAGTGGCTGCACACATGCCTCATCATGTGATTGCATGTTGGGGCGCTTGCAACCAGCTTGCATTTACAGCCATTTTCAGCCTGTCCTGCACAGTCACATGACCATGATTTTTGGCATTTTACGACCCAAAAAAGTTGTAAAATTGGGTGCTGTCATGTGGCGACCCACTTAATGACTGTTATGTCTTATAACCCTAATTCTCAGTTGTTACCCTTATACCGTAAGTCAAGGACTACCTGTGCCCAATTCTTGTTCTGCATGCTTAGAATAGCAGTCTGCCCGTACCTCTGTTTGTACCATTAAAGATCGATGCATTCGTAGGTCGTATACAGTGCCGTACACATCAACCGTGTTCTCCATCTCCATCTGTTGTATCAAACGGTCAATTGCAATGAAAGTTCCTGTCCTCCCAACACCAGCGCTGTTTAAAAAAAAAAAAAGGCAGAGGGTTGAATACCTTCATCTGACTCTTTCACTATGTTTTTCAAGCATTGCATTATCTAATCTAAAAATAGCACCGCCTAAATTTTCTCTCTTCTACATAAGGAAAAAAAAGAAAGGAAACTAATGCCCTGGTTTGTCCAGCCACCCTGTTTATCTGCTGTTTTTCCAGGGACCAGAGTACAATATACTGTAATTCTAAATATAATGTACTGTATGTAAACAGAAACATTGTCGTCATCGTCTTGTCCATGGGGGGAATCACTGGATTGCATGGAGATGGGAGATTGTTAGGAATCATATGGCTCCAGGCCAGGCTGGGAAATTGGGAAGAAAAAAACAAACTTATACTAGAAGGTGGCAGTGGCAATTCATTTCTGTATTATCATTAAGAAAACTTCATGATTATATCTGTGAAGACACCAGGAACTGACTTTGACTTGAAGGAGATTTTTTATCTAGCCAAGCCAGTATCTACATGTAGGTAGTCTTTGACTTACAACCATTTGTTTAGTAACCGTTCAAAGTTACAATGGCACTGAAAAAAAAAAAGATTTATGACTGTTTTTCACACTTGTCACACCCAACCATTGCAGTATCCCCACAGCCACATGATCAAAATTCAGACGGTTGACAACTGCTTCGTATTTACGACGGTAGCCTTATCCTGGGGTCACCTTTTGTAACTTTCTGACGAGTAAAGTCAACGGGGAAGCTAGATTCACTTAACAACCCATGTTAACTAATTTAACAATTGCAGCCGATTTATTTAACAACTGTGGCAAGGAAAGTCCTAAAATGGGGCAACATTTAATAGCGGTCTTGCTTAGCAATGGAAATTTTGGGCTCAATTGTAAGTCGAGGACTATCTATAGAACACTGTTGGCAGCTAAAGTGGCTTTCCGTGTTTTAGAAAACGAAATATCTAACGCTCAGCTAGGTTCTCAGGGTTTCAAAAAGGATAAAAAGAAGAAAGCATCCCCTGGCCTCTCCATATGATTGGGTTGGTATTTTGAAAATTGGGCTAGAATAACTTTTTATTTTGATTGCCTGCAGAATGAGATAATGTAATTTTGGGAAGGGCAATTTAGCAGAGAGCACATGAAAAAGGAAGTAAAAATTACACTCCCACAGCATAAGCTGGATGTGAATCGTAATCCTTCACTTCCCTACAGTTTTAATACTATATGGTTTAAAGCCAGGGTTGGTGGGATGGGGGAGAGCCTGACCTTAACTCTCCATTTGGTTTGTTTTGGACTCCCGAAAAATTCTGCCACTTGAGGAGGCTAACACTATTTCTCAGTGACTGAAGACATTCACGAGGGACAGTTTGTTTCATCTCCACACTAATGCAGTCTCTCTCTCTCTCTCTGATACATGCCTTGATGCACATGCTATCATACTTGGAAATAGCCACACAGCTCTCCTCTCAGTCCGTTCCAACCCATGGGGTCATCCCATGGCAGCAGGACTCTTTACCAGCCAACTGATCATAGCTCAAATTTGGTTTCTTTTAAACCAGAGGTGTCAAACTCAAGGCCTGGGGCCTGGATCCGGCCTACAGGGTGCTTAGATCTGGCCCATGGGGCTGCCCTGGAAACATCCCGCGGTGCCTCTGCCAATGAAAATGGAGCTCAGGAGGGAGGCACACAGCTCTCCTAAGCTATGTTTTTGCTGGCAGAGCGCTCAGGCCACCACAGGCACCTCCCCACATGAATGATGTCACGCTGGCCATGCTCACCCTGGCCACGCCCATTCTGCCCTCCGAGATCAAACACAATCCTGATGCAGCCTTCAATGAAATTGAGTTTGACACCCCTGTTTTAAACCAACTAGTTAAGATGCCATCAAGTCAAAAACCCGCAGTTGATATTTCATTAACACACACCACCAATTACTTAAAAGTAAATACAAAACTTCCAAATGCCCCTTCTGGCCACGGAGAAGAAAAATGCAGAAATCCGAGGGTCAAATATAATGAATATAAAATAGCTTCTTTTGTTCAGACAAGATAAAAGCCAAAGGATTGTGTGTACCTTACATACGGCGTACCTCGTGATATGTGTTAGACTGATAACATGCATTTTACAAGCGGGTGGGTTGAATTCCAACTGACACCCCGCAAATGGCACTGTCACTTCCTAGCTCAATGCCCGATTTTAAAAGCAGCTGTTTCCATGAATATCCTTGCAAGACAGCCACTCATTGTACCCAAGCACAACCACAGAAAATCATACTTAAATGCCGGTAAAGGTATTATATTTGTACCTGCAATGAACTAAGGTTGGAGAAGATTGTGGCTTCTGCTTCATGAATTCGTGCACCAAGTGCCTGAAGCTGATGAGGAGGTCTGTGGTTTCTGGAACCCCATGATCAGGCCAGGCAGTGAAGTGAAACTGACGCACAGGATGACTTTCCGGTGAATCACTCTTGTCAAAATACAGAAGAGAAGTTAGAACTCACAAAGGAATTATTTGCGCGGACGCCTCCTGGCAACTTGCTTTACTTAAACAAAAAAACAAAGAAAGCTTTGTTCATACAAGCTATTGAAGAGGGTGATCGTGACTCTTCTTTACTCTGAGTCCTGTGATGGCAAACCCAGGAAATGCACATTGGGAGACAAGAAAAGAGAGGCAGATCAAATCTACGTTTTCCCTCAACCAAATCTGCATTTTCCCTCAACCTACATTTTCCCTCAACCCTGCCCAGCTGTTTTGGAGCTCTATTTGCCAGAATTATCAGGCAGCATTGCTGAAAACAAAGCTCACTGGGAATTCTGGGAATAGTGTTTTGCATGATTGAGGGCACCAGGTTGGCAGAAATCAACGTAACTGGAAACAAAAACAGCAGGAATGAAATTCGATCCAAGGGTAGCTGGAGGAGAGTAGGAGAGACAAACTGGCAAAGATAAATACAGCAGAGGAAACCCCCGCTTATGTTTATGAGGTTACATAAGAACCAAAGCAAAGCTTTTCTTTGCTTTAAAAACCCTGCAAAAAATAAATGTGGGCACTGGTCACATTGGTTACTTTTTCATCTCTATTGTGTGAATGGTTGCTGTCTGAGACAATTGCCAAATGAAGACTAATTATATTCCCTTTGTATCGTTGCCCTGGCCCTTTATGAGCGGAGGTTAGAATGCAGGCTAATTCTGCTGACTGACTGCTGCTGGCAGTTCGATTCTAACCAGCTCAAGATTGACTCAGCCTTCCAGTCTTCCGAGGTCGGTAAAATGAGGAGCCAGATTATTGGGAGCAATATGCTGACTCTGTAAACCACTTAGAGTGGGCTGTAAAGTACTGTGAAGCGGTATATAAGTCTAAGTGCTATTGTCATTGCTATGTATTCTTAATAAAAAATGGTATGTTTTTTTTCCTAGTTCCAAACTTCAGGGCTTTAAAACGTATTTTTTCTACCCAAATTCCTTGAGATTAGGCAAAATAAGTACTGACCCAAAGTACGTAAGTAGGTAAGCAAGTAGATAAATAGTAAATTTAGCTCTGGGAATACACTACACATTGTTAAAACACTGCCCCAATCCCAAGCTTGATGCAACTATGAAAAATTCCTTCTATCAGGTCCGGTTTTATAAGATTTATTTTATCATAACTGATAAAGAGGGAGGGTATGGCAGGGCTACTTCTATTCAGCATCTACATAAAACTACTTGCTGATCACCATTATCATTGTGTAAAGTTTCATTGTTCTCTTGAGGGCACTCAATTGAACATCTTAATCCCTGGCTACTTGGTAGCCGAACAGCAAATGGCAGCAATCAAGCTGGAAAGGGCAAGTGTGTAAGTGATCTTGTTCTAAATCAGGTTGCAGTGGAGGTGCCACCTGCGGCTAGTCACGCTCTCCCTGTGCTTCTGTGATGCCCACAAGCTTGATCCTGCACCCCACAACCACAGGCCTGATCTGACCAGAAAGAAGTGGAATTACCATAAAATAATATCACCCACTGCTGACTCTTCTAAGAAGCCCAGAAAGATATTGTGCCTCACAATACTGAAGCCTGCCCAGCTATCTAGTAAGACAAGAATGGTTATGATTCCACATTCCATGCTTTGCCATACGTCATCCATGCAGTTTCTGTCTCATGCCATGGGTCCAAACTCTGATTGCCAAAAACCCAGATAATTTCCTTCTATCAATAGAAAGCTCTGTAATATATGATCATAACTCACTTGCTGTATGGAGAAATCTCTTATTGTCCACTCGGGTAAGAAAATTTCTGAAGTCATGGCCACCATTAAGTCTCCATAATTCTTGGATTGCTTGTTTGGCCAATACTCTTCACATTTTGTCTAAAAATATAAATGATCCATAGGTTATACTGTAAAATAATTTTATTGTCAAATCCTTTCTTGGATTGAAGATATCACAGCTGTAAGATACTACAATAAATCAGCTTCCCATAACATTGTACTAGACAGACAATACGCAACAACAATTCTTTCAGAATTCTTAGTCAACAGAGAAGAAACTATGAGAATTAGGTTTGCTCTTTCTTTTTTCTTATGTTTCATATATGTTTAATCATGTTCAATTTTTGAAGACTGCCTGGATAAATCCCTGCAGTTTTCTTGGCAAGATATTTAGAAGTGGTTTGTCCTTGATTGCTTCCTACTTGCTGAGAGAAAGTGACAAGTCCAACATCACTCAGTTGATTTTGTGTCTAAGTTGGGATTAGAATTCACAGTCTCCCATTACTAGGCTGATGTCTTAACCACTGCACCAATCTGGGTCTCGTTTTTCTTCTACCTTGAAGACTAACATGATTCCAATCACAATCTAGGGAACAGTTACAAGAAACCTTCTTATTCGTGCCATAGAACACTATTTTAATTATCTGCTGCTCTGACTATAAACATGGCATGGCGGAGGATCAGCTTCTCCTTAGTAGCGGCATTATCTCTAAGAACATAAACTTGACCTCATGTCTCATTGTTCTACCTTTCCTCTAAACTCAATTTGGAATATTTTACTATGAAGATGATCTGTATGTTGGCTTTTCCTTGCATAGTTACCACAGAGTAACTCTTGCATAGAGCTACCCAGTAGTAAGATGGTCAGCCAATAAATTTAATAAATAAAAAGTAAATAAACACTCTCTCTGCCAGCAATATATATTGTTTTATTTATTGGCTATATTGATTTGTGTAAGGAGCAGGAAATAATAGTTTTAAATACATTCTAATGCCACTCATGTACATGGTAGATAAGACAGTTGTGGTTGTGATGTTTTGTAACTGGTCTTAGAAGTTTAAAAAAACTTACCCGGCCTTGTTCAACACATTTAGTCAACATAACAACGGTGTAAATTTTCTTCTCCCAGATCATGCGCCAGAAATCTTGCACAGTGTTAGGCAAAGGACCTTGTGCTGCAATAAATTCTTTCTTGGAGTTATATCCCTGTAATAAAAATATGGTCTCAGTATCATTTTTCAACAAACTCGCCACTCTAAATAATGTGTTTTAAACACACCAGGAAGACTTACAGGCATATAATTTGCATTAATGTAATCATCAGTTGGGTGATTTTGGATTGAAAGTTTAACACGCGAAATATCATCTACAAGGAGAGAAAAAAAGAGATGTTAGGTCTTGCTTTTAAAATGTAATTTAGGTAAATTCATTAAATAAATAAAATGCATTCATTGTGAAAGGTCATATGCAAAGTGAAAAAATATGGGGCAATAAGTAAGTTTAATTATGTATGGTCCTTGGTGCTATCTGAGTTGGGTGGGTTTCTTGCAGACATTTCATTACCAAACTAGGTAACCTCATCAGTAAACTGTAATTATTCAAGCCAAGTATTAAAACTTAGGGAAGTACTAATATATTAGCATTTCAGTCAAATTAATTATGCTTCAATCAATCATATCCCATTAATTTCATTAAAGAAAGGAGCTAAAGGAACATTCAATTTTCAAATGCAATTTTCAAAATGTTTTTTAAGAGACAACGGTCATTTTATAGCTTTTAATCTGGTACATAAGAATTTGATGCAGTTCAGTAGCATGATTTCTGAGAGAGAGCTTCTGAGCACTAAAAACCTATTTTCCACCTTGTTTTTTGAGTGATTTAGACACTTCCTGTATCATTTAATGGGAATTGGTTACATATGAGAATCCTCTTTTTCATTACCAACTTTGGCCCCTATTGATGATTGTCCATGTGCCAGTTGAGGTGGAAAATGAAAGATTATGATGATCTCTCTTCACACAGAATGGTACATCATTAGATTAGCTTATGAATTTGACATACTTTAGAAAAAAAGTTACTTAAATCCTTTTTCAATCAAGAGGATTGAAGGAAATTACAATTCTACAAATTAGGCTTCTAATGCCTGCCTGTACTATATTTAGGATTTGTTTAGAGTTCTTTTTCCTGATGTTCCAACATTTATGTGACAGGAAAAAGAAACCTATTGATTAACTCTAATCCCTCCACAATTTTTAAATGAAACATGACAGTCCAGAGTTCTACCATCCATATCAAATATTGTGCCAAGAACCAAGGAAAATATGGAGAATTTAAAATCAAAGTTCTATTTACAACTAAACAGAAAAGCAGAAAACATAGCAGGAACTGTTTTGGCCCAAATGGAAATTCTGATCATATTTTATAAAGTTACAGCTGAAATATTTTAGGCAATAATAAGAGTAAATACAGGAATAGAATGGGGAACTTACAAGGCAAAACATTGTTGTATCTATTTTTTCCTTTGTTATCTGACAAGTCAGCAGCAAATTTAGGCTGATTAGCACCAACTGGCCTGAGATCCTACAACAGAGAAAGATATAATTTATTACTGTTTTGTCTCAAAACATACGATGTTTTTTTAATATTTAGCATTGTTGTAACAGTGGATGTCAGGAAAGGTAATTATTATTTCTGCTTGTTAATTTGTTTTCACAATTGAGTTTTGGCTCCTTACTGAAATACCCTCTAATATATAAGAAGATTTATATATACAAGAATTCGCTTAATAATGGTAGTGACCATATATGCATGAAAAATATTTCCGTGTGAATAAGAATTGTTAAAAAGCGTACCTCATACTCTTCAGCAAACCCACAGTTTGAGTCAGCTTTTTGTTTCTTAAAATAAGATTCATAATTTTCAACTTTAAGTAATTTTGATCTGCAAAAGACAAAAACAGCAGCTACTGTTTAGTGTACAGTTTTGTTCAAACCACAAAAAAGTACTGAGTCATTTTGGGACTTAACTCCTTAATTATGCAAAAAAGTCCCTGTATTTGTCAAGTGTCATTGAGAAGTGGTGAAACATAACAAGGTATGAATGAGAGTGAATAGCAATTTAGAAATTCCAAAAGCCAAAAGTAAAGTAAAGCAAAGAAACACTTGACAAGTGAAGTGTTTAACATGTAAAGTAAAACAAAAAATTCACTCAAAAATTATATACATAGCTTGGAAACTAAACAGAAATCAGAATGTATACTTATTCTGAATGTTTAGTTTCCAAGCTATATATATAATTTTGGGTAGAAGGGTAGAATCAATAATTATATTCATTCAGGATGTACTTACTTTTTAGGTCTGGAAAGGAAAAAAGAAAGAAAAAGGAAAGTACACATTAGTTATTGTCCTTATTAACTGAGCAAAACAATTTTTATACATAATATTTGGGATTCAGCAAAGGTTGTAATGAATTCCCTAAAATAATTCCCTGTTGTGATATGAATGGTTCCAATTAAGTTTTGAAAACAATGTATTGGTTTAAAAATGTATCTTATATATGTTTAAGCTATGTTAATGCTGTTTCCAATTATTTTTTCCTTTTCCCCCTGCTTCTTATAGGTATTACTTCATTTGGAACAACTTTAACATTTTTATTATTAAGATGAAACTAAACATAATACCATTTACAGAATTAGCAACTGCATGGTTTCTGTTATGTCCTGAGGACTCTAGGAGTTGTCACTCAGGTCCACTCACTTTGCGGGGGCGTTCTCCCCTTTACCCATTGGTTGGTTCTCCCCAGCAGCCAGCTATAAAAGCAGGCTGCGGGGTCCGACCAGTTGCTGATCGCTGCGAGCCAGTTCCAGGCGTGGCAAGCACGGTCAGCCCTTTATTGTTATAATAAAGTATTGTTGCACTCATGCTCTGGTTCAGCCTCTCTTTTCCCAAACATAACAGTTTCCTTAAAGATTAAATGGCTTATTAAAATTCTAGTGATCTTAATTGTTTGTAAAGCTTTGGAAATGCTATGGAATTTATGTATTTATTTAAATATATTGGCTGCTACCCAAATCCAGCAGATTGTTTATATGTCACCCTCTCCCACCCATTTTCAAACCAAGATAAGAAAAAAAGTTCAAACAGATTTCTGAATACTAGGCAAAGAAATAAAAAAAGCATTCAACTCACTCAATTTGACTAAATGGCACTTCATTATTTCTACCTTTCCTGTAAAAGTAGAGATTGAAAACAAATTAGTTGGGATTTCCATTCTTTAATATTTACATCAAACTAGTTGCGTAGCTTTCCATCTAGTTAACGGGATTACATTACCATAAATTATGCTTTTCTGTAGGCAACAAATGCGTTTTCAGAAATTAGTAAAGGGTGGTATATTCAATTATCTGTGACAAGACAGTTCTGAGTAACTAGCAGTCCTGCCTTATCATTCCAGTATACTTAATATAAGTTTATCACCAGGAAAAAAAATCTGTGTAGCATCAGATCTAAAGCAAGAAAAAATAAAAAACAAACTGTCCATATTTTGAATTACAATTCCTATAATCCATTACCAGCTATGCTGACTGGATGTTTTGGCTGAAGATTTCTAGAAAAAAAACACACAAACAATGATCTATCTGGGAATGCTGGGAGATTTGGAGAATCTTGGTGGGCTCTGCAGTACAGATGCCCACGATTTATCATGGAATTCAAAATAGCTGCATTATGAAGTTGTTTTTATACCTTTTCTTTTTCCAGAAGATGAATCCAACAATTGCAACAATAACTAATAGAACCAAAATGCTTCCGACAACACCTCCTGTGATGACAGCTGAAAAAGAGAAAAGCGATATACAGTTTTCTTCATACTTTTATGCTCCTTTACACCCATCTAATGATTCAACTCCCTCCCTCCCTCTCCCTCTCTCTTCGTGTCTTTTTTATCTTCTAGCTTTTTATCATTCTTTTCAGATCTTCATTTTCACTCCTTGATGTATATTTTTAGATCCTTTATGCCTCTTTTTAATGATTGTATCCACCCACTTATGCTGCTCTGATTTTTTTTTGCTTTTATTGCCACAATTTATCCTTAATAAAGACAGCCAGCTAAACTGGATCAGCTTCAAAACTTCAAAGCTTAATTGATACAGAGCTTGCTGGCTGGAGAAATCTAGGATTTGAACTCCATACATCTTAAAGCTGCCAAGCTTCAGAAACCCTGATATAGAATGATGTACTACATCAAAGCAGAGTGAATTGTCAGTTCACACATCCTTTACATTTGTTACTGCTAACAATAGCAAGGCAGCCTGTTTCTGAATCTTGGTGCTAAGAACACTAAATGAAATTTATAGCGTATGACTTCTCATCTATGCTAGCACATGTAAGACTTCAGACTAGCATAGAACAAGTCCCCCGTATACATGCAGATTCCTTTAATACACCATGGAGAATATACCAAGTTATTAGCGAATACACCAAGTCAAACTATCTGGATAGAAAAGTTTGGCTTCAGTAATTTACGATAGATTCAAATTAGGCTACTGCAACTTCATCTGCAGAGGAATGGAATCCGAGTCACCATGGGCGAATGGGCAGCAATATAAATTCAATAAATAAATACATAATAAATGTCTTAGAACAGTGGTCCCCAATCTTTCTGGCTTGGCAGACCAGCAAGATGGGGGGCGGGGGAGAGGGGGGATGGATGGTTCCATATCAGTGGTTGGTGCGCACACCTACATTTGCGTAAGCGGTGGTTGTGCATGCACGCTATTTAGGAATATACAATATTGATTTTCTCTTCAACTGTAGTTTTAATCTGAAGAGTCAAAGGTTTGGTCAAAATAGAGCTGGGTTTGCAACAAGAATTTGATCAATACCTGGATTCTGAGGTAAACCAACCAACGGTGAAAGATGAGAAAATGAGACATAACTCTTCTCTGCGTTGACAATGGTCTCATTCACAAATGTAATTCTAGTGAAAGCTGCAACACATGCCCTAATCAAAGGTAGGGAAGAAAGGAAATAGCTATTAGGCTGAGATACAATCAAGAGTTTCAGAGATATGTAGATTACTCATTCATCATGTTTTATTCACATGTATTATAAAGATGCATTATAAAACATGAGAAAAATTACCTGTATGACCCAAGAGGATCTAATTTTCCATTAAAATAACCATATGTTGTAGATTCATCTCCTATTTCAACAACATAATCCTGATTTTTTGTAGAAGATGAACGTTTTTCTTCAGTTTTTATATATGCAACATAAGTACTTGTTTCCTTATTCCAGAAATCATTATATGTGTACTTTAAAACCTCATTTGAGACTGTACCTAATTAGAAAGAACAAGACATTGTAAGCTAAAGTTACATTATAAGCAGCACTTCAGCAAAATACTATTAGACTGGTTTTAAAATGAAAACAACAACAACAGTGAGATGAATTTATATTATTTAGTTAGTTAGCTGCCTGGGAAGTTTGTTGATCAGTGTAACACATCTCACTTTTATAGATGCAATATTTTCTACTCCTGAACAAAAGTTTCAGTGCAAATTTCTAAAATTTCTAATTCACTTTTGGAAATAGTTTATATATAGTTTTAAGAGTAAATTAACAAAATGATGTTTTGTTCATTTGGTTTCTAGATTTTATTGGGGGGAAAAGGAAATATTTGGTTGCAGCTGAATGTTTCTCAAGCTGATTATGAGGTTGCAAACCAAAATAAAGGAGAAACATTTAACTCTGTACTAAATATGTTTTTTAAGAGACAACTGGACTTCATTTTTCTTTGAAGACATTTCGCTTGTGTAATTATTGTAATTGAATAAATGGATCCATACTGAACTTTTCTGAAGGTTTTGTAGGAAAGGACACAAAATACAGGGAACTAATTTCATAACATACTACTGTCAACCATCTTGAAACTAAAGGCATTTCCTAATATTAAATACTCACATTCAATAAATTAAGAAGTGATGGTGTACAGGACTGTATTTACAACACTCACAGCAGAGTTACTGCTTTGAAATGCATGGCCATATAAAATTGTATGTATGTATCGTTCATTATTGGAGGACAGACATTTATTTATGTATATATAAATCTCATATACATAAATTTCTGCCTCCTAATAATGAATGATAGGTAGAACATTACTGTGTAACACTCACCACAAAATACTCTTTTGCCAATAACCACCTAGAATTAATAAACTGCATCACATTGCACTACAGTGCATTTATCCCTCCAAAGTATAAATACAATATTTTGGGGATTAAATAGATTGATGAAACATAAATCAAAAATCAAACATAGTTGAATATACATATTGTTCCTAGTTCAGAATAATTTCCTGTTACATTTTATGGAAAAAAAATCAGTATTAAAATGTTTGGAAAACTGTGGGTGATTTCATTGAATTGTCTGTGTTGTTTTCTTATGTATTTATTAGATTTTTTTAAAATCCAGCATCTATTGCTTTTAAAAGTTACTCAATATACCTACTATTACTTCCTCCTTCTGGTTTCCCTATAACCACAGCCCTGTGAGGTGAGTTGGGCTGAGAGAGTGATTAGCTCAAGATCACCCAACTGGTTTTCATGTCTTAGGGAGGCCTAGAAGTAAGTCTTCTGGTTTTTATGCCACCCCTTCACCATTACACCAAAATGGCTCTCAGCAACAATATAGAAATTGTTTGCCTTTGTTTTCTTGGGGATTTTTTTTGACTACTCAGTTTAAGTCACCATTATATAATACCTGGTCTCCCATCAAATAAGGTCCAACCCGCTTAGCTTTTCAAAACAGCCACATCATGTAGGAATTTTATAAGCAATGTAACTGCTGTTTTCCCAACAGTTTTTAAAAACAAAAGGAGATGATTTTGTATGTAGCATATACTGGATTTCAGTGCTGGTTTAGAATTTATTTATTTATTTATTTACTCAAATAATTATTAGATAACAGGTATAAGTATAAACATGATTATAAATACATGAAATGGATACGAATAAAAAAAAAAAGAAACAACAGGACAGGGATGGTAGGCACGTTTTGGTGCGCTTATGCACGCCCCCTACAGACCTCTTAGGAAAGGGGCGAGGTCAGTAGTAGACATGTTGATGATTTTGGGGTTTGGGGTAGAAACCACAGAGTCAGGTAGAGTATTCCAGACAGTGACTACTCTGTTGCTGAAGTCATACTTCCTGCAATCAAGTTTGGTATGGTTTATCTTTAGTTTGTATCTATTTTGTGCTCTTGTATTGTTTTGGTTGAAGCTGAAGTATTCATTGATAGGTAGGACATTGCATATTTAGATCGAACCTAAGGCGGCATAGTTCTAGGTAGTTCTAGGTTGTATAGGTCTAAAATTTCAAGTCTGGTGGCATAAGGTATTCTGCTACGAGTAGAGGAGTGGAGGATTCTTCTCGTAAAATATTTCTGGACTTTCTCAATTGTATTAATATCAAATATGTAATGTGGGTTCCAGACTGATGAGCTGTATTCAAGTATTGGTCTAGCAAATGTTTTATATGCTCTAGTTAGTAGAGTGATCTTACCGGAGAAAAGGCTATGCAGGATTAGGTTAACAACACTTAATGCCTTTTTGGCTATGTAGTTACAGTGGGCCCTAGCACTTAGATCATTTGAGATGAGTACTCCAAGGTCCTTGACAAAGTTTTTGTCATCAACAAGGTCTTGACTATTCAGCTTGTATTTTATTTATTTTATTTTATTTTGCCAATATGTAAGATAGAGCATTTATTTGTTGAGATTTGAAGTTGCCATTTGTTTGACCATTCTGACACATAGTCGAGGTCTTTTTGAAGGGTAGCAGCATTGTCAGTGAAAAGAACACAGTTGCTCTTAATATGATCACAGAGGTCATGTATGTAGAGTATGAAGAGAGTTGGTCCTAGAACACTGCCTTGGGGGACACCACTGTTGACAGGTACAGGATTTGATAGGACGCTCCCAATTTTGACCATTTGTTGCCTATTTGACAGGAATGCTTCTATCCAGCTATGCAGGTATCCAGAGATACCATAAGACCTTAGTTTTAGGAGTAGTTTGTCATGTACCACTGAATCAAAGGCTTTACAGAAGTCTATGTAAATTGCGTCAATTGCTTTGCCCTGATCAAGTTGTGTAGTATAGTCCATATGTTTTTACAGTGCAAGAGTTACAGGTTACAGGACAGTTTCCTTCTGAAACCAAACTGTTTGTTAGACAGTAGATTCTTTGTCTCTAAGTGGACGATAATGGATTGGTTAATAATTGATTCCATGACTTTACAGGTGACACAGCATAAAGAGATTGGTCTGTAATTTTCAACTAGGCTGGGGTCTCCCTTTTTGAAGATGGGGAATTATTGTGGCTAGTGACCATAGATTTGGCAAGGAGCTGGTCCTGAAAGTTTTTCAAAGAGTATGCTTAGAGGTTCAGCTATGGCAGTGGATAGCTTTTTTAAGAAGTAGGCACAAACTCCATCCAGACCAATAGATAAAGATGATTTTAGATTGCGTAGTGCTTTTTCAACATTGTCTTCTGTAAAATTGATATGTATTAGATCATTGTAGTTGTCTGTGATTCGACTAGGAAATATTGGGCATGATCCATTGCTGTTTACAAATACTGAGCCAAAGAATGTGTTGGCTTTAATGGTGTCATCGTTGCAGTCTTTACCATTTGGTTCTTTTAGGGGTGGGATGGACCTTGAGTCTTTTAATTTGTTGTTTACAAAATTGTAGAAAGTGCATGTGCATAGAAGGTTTTCCTCTTGTTTAGTGTGATAATTGGTACATTCAGTCTTTATCTGATGGCATAAATTTTTGTATCGGCTTTTAAAGTTTAAAGACAACCTGACCAGATTTGTTTTTCCACCAAAGGGATTTCTTTTTGGATTGGAGCTTCCTTATTGTTATGGGTAATTTGTTTTTTCTGATTTTGGGAGTTGTTATTGGTACATATAATTTGATGACTCTTTTGACTTCAAGTATAAATATGTTGTAGTGGTCTTCAACAGTATTGCATCCAGTGAATAGAATTTGCCAATCAAGAGATGAGAGATCGTTGTCTATAAGATCATAGTTGCTTTTTTTGAAGTTATAATTGGGGATCCTGTCATTATGGTGATTTTTGTGAGGACATATGTTGAGCCAAAAGTCAATCATGCTATGGACACTGTTGGAAAAGGATTAATTTGTATTCCATAAATTGAATTCAAACTGTTGCAGAAGATGAGATTGAAGCAGTTAAGTCTAATGTTGTTGGTTACTAGTTGTTCCAGTCCTAGTGTGGTAACAGCATTGTACAGGGTTGTATGAATGGGTTCAGATGTACATTAATTTAGTGTCCAATTTATAAGAGGTAAATTGAGGTCACCAAGGAAAATGAGAGGGTGTGGGCAGGAGGCAGCCCATGTCAGTAGTAAAGTTAGCTTGTTTGCATGAATTATATCATAGTCGGGCACGATAGCAAAGTAAGAAGTGGATTGAGATGTTTAAGGACAGTTCACAGATGATGGTCTCAGGAAGAGCTAGCTCTTGTATAATTTGGATTTTTTTTTTAGATTTAGAGACTTTTTATAGAATATAGCAACTCCACCACCTTTATGGATTTCGTGATCTGCTCGAAAAACTTGATATTCTCTTGTAGTGGTAATGTAGTCTGGGAAAGATGCATTTAACCATGTCTCACAGACAAATATAATGTCAAATGTGGTTGAGCTTAGAAGGATGGGGAATTCATGCATTTTATTTGCGAGGCTTCTTGCATTAAGTAGTTTGAATTTAAGATATGAAGTAGTGGGTCTGAAGGAAGTAAGGGGCATGCATCCCTAACGTTGGATGTTTGGGTGATGTATATTGTGACGTGGGTTGAGGCTCTTGCTTTTGATACAGTCAGCACGGTTATCAATGTATAGATTTGTATTACCTAATTCATGTAATCTTTTGAGCTCAGAACGTAGCTCTTGAGATCGTACACATTGCTGTAAGGTTAGATCAGGGCGAGAACGAAGGTTCTTATGGTTGTTGTTCTTTGCAAGTGAATTTATTGAGAAAATGAATTTGCATTTGCTTGTTTTGTTTTTGTAAACAACCCTGCAGAGGCATGGGATCATCAAGCCATCTTTGTTTTTAAGCTCAGGACCAACACGGGAAATATCAAGTATTTCTTCAGGGGAGATGGTTGATGCTTGATTTTCTCTGAAGACGTTTCGAACGTTAGAGATGTCATCATTGTCATTGACCTCTAGACCAAATAAGATGGCATTTGGTCGCTTCCGTTCACACTCAACAATTTCTTTGATGAGGATGGGGATATCAATATTTGTAGGATTTGTTGTTTTTTGTGGATTGGGTTTTGGTTGCAGTTGTTGAGTAGAGATATGGTCTGTAGATGTTTGATGTTCGTTTTTTGGTGCTGTCTCTTTTTTTTCAAGGTTTGCCAATCTAGTTTGTATAGTGTCCAGGTATGCTACAATGGCGTCAAGGGATGTTATACGTGTTTCAATGGTACCGACTCTTTCAAACAGGGTAATGTATTTTTCTAGTTTGGGTCTACATGGCGGACAGAAATATGGAAAAGCATTGGCAGATGTTTTTAGGAATAGAGCCATTTGCTTGGGTAATCCTAAGCTATTATGGTGAGTGTAGTTGTTACAAGGAGAACATTTAATGTAATCTTCATTCTCCTTTAAAGATTCCTTACAAATAAGGCAAGATCAAGAGTCTTGTGGTTCTTTAGTCGGGGTTTCTTTCTTTTAAGGTTTGACATTGTATTGTTTTCCTGGCATGGTGGGTTTGTTGAGATGGTTTGTTGATTAGGTTGTTCAATCAAACAAGGTACTGTGGTAATCAATAAAGTAATATCATGCCAAACACTCTATTATACTAATGACATTAGTCAATTAATTTAATCAATAATCACCCTAATAATTAATTACACTAATCAAAAAACACACTAGTCAATTAATTGTCCTAATCATTAATTTGCACTAAACATACTAATCATACTATTATTCAAACTAGTTAACCAAACTAATCAGTAACCACTAGTCTATGATAATCTATAATAATATATTACTCACTAATAATAATTGTAAAAATTAATTAATCATTTAGTAATATCAGTTAATCAATTAAACAGAGTTACATTGGGAAAAATTAGGGCAGAAAGAGAATAATGGGAGGAAGTGGAGAAGATTTAGTTTGGATAGTCCTGGGGGGTATAGGAAGAGGGCATATATTAGGTTAGAAGTATAGATGAAAGTCTTTTGGCAGAAGGTTACTCTTTACTCGTTTCTTCAGATCTTCAGTTAGTGATCTTTGGGAACCAGATCTGTCTTCACATGGATCTTCTTGTCTTTGGGCATATATTAGGCTGAAGGTAACTATGAAAGTTTTTTGGCAGAAGGTTAATCTTCACTTGTTACTTCCGATCATCAGCTAGCGATCTTAGGGATTAGGTCTGTCTTCTCACAGATCCCCTTGTCTGGTTAGCGATCTTAGAAATTAGGCTACTGAGTGAATTAGCAGAGCTCTGCTCTGAGATCAGGACCTCCGATTTGGAATTTGACGATCGCAGATGATCGATGATGTAGGCGGCAGTTTGGGCAGCAGTTTTACTCATTTAGCTTTGACTGACTTTGGCTTCATTTTTTTTTAAATAAAAGAGCCCTCATGTGTATAGTAAATATTCACGACACAAAGATAAAACATTTTTAGATGAATAGAAAAAATAATTATCCTAGGGATATCGTACTTTACCTTCTGAGGTGGTAATAATTACTGCATATGCTTTTATAGGTCCATGACTTGAATTAAAACTGTTGAACTGAACACTGAAAGAGTTGTGGCTGGTTGCCTTGACAACAGGGGACACGGTCAAAGGTGGGGGATCTGGAAAAGAAAAAGTAATCATATCAGGATATGGAAGGTATGATAAGAAAAAAAAAACCACTGTGCCAAACCACCACTGCCCAGAGATTCATTCATAAAGCAACAGCCCTCAGCACATCATGCAAAATTATGACCCCATGCTCTAAGTAATGTTACTAGATTTGTGTTCAAAGCACCAACCAAGGCACTTCCAGATTGAAAGGATTAGCTGGTGGCATCACTGTTGCCCAGGGAACACCTGAGGAGGGCTCCTTTCATGTCCCAGTTATTTTCCCACTTGTTTTTAATCTACTATTCTACTTTTATTTGCATGCTTTCAAATTGCTAGATAGACAAGGAGTTGTGGGCAAGGACGGGAGCTCATTCTGTCACACGGCTTGCTCTCAGTTTTGAACTGCTGATCTGTTGACCTATCAACAGTCTTTTGATTCAGCATCCTAATCACATGGGACACCACGCCCCTCCCCCTTTTGTTCCAAGCTGAACTGCAGAATGGGATTTAAGGGGATGTTTTGAAAATTGCTCACAACTGCCTCCATGTTCCTGTATGGACTAACATCTCCTCATTTGAACTAGTAACTTTGTAATACACACATATGTATATTCCAATTAGATAATTCACCTCAGGATATGGAGATATAAATATATTGCCATAATCAGACTGATTATGTGCCATCAAGTTGGTGTCAACACTAAGTGGCCACATATATATCATTTATTAATAAGAAATTGACCCCCCTCTGTATATCTACAAATACACATACAACCAATATATAAAAAGGAGCGAAGGTGCCATTTTATTTAAGATATGTTCTCTGACAGATCTGCTCCAATAATTTATTAAGAAATTTATAAAGATTTTGAAGGGTACCAGGGAGAAAAAGGGAAGAATCACAGCTGTGTCATTTTTATTCATTAAATAAGTCAGTTACAAGGTAGTTTTATGCTTACCTGTGATACTTGTGCGGCATTTTTTTTCCCGAGGAATACTTGTTTTCTTACATGAAAGAGTGACAATTGTAATGGTGTAAGTGGTAAAGTAATCCAGGTCTGTCACAATGGTTTGATTTTCTCTCTCCAAAATCTTGTTCTGATTGTTTAGGATCTCAATTCTGAAGCCTTCATAACTTCCATTTGGAATACTCCAGTCTAGACTTAATTGTGGCTTTTTTTCTACCAGATTGCAATCAAATCTATCCACTGATGCTGGATCTACAATTAAAGAGAACATCTACGGTTGTCCATTTGCTATTTAAATAAGTTGACAAATTTGAATAAAAAGTGCAGCAGCATGGAGCAAAGAAAAACAACTTCTTAGTTATCTATTTCTTTTTCAGTTATTCATCCCAGAAATGCAAATGGGGTATTAAGAGAAAAAAACATATCAACATAAATATGGGTTATTATTGTACAAGGAAAAAAATATTGAACTAAAATAAACTTCATCATCATCTCCTTTTAATGACCCCATAATTCCTTGCCGGGTGGAGTCTGACCAACTGAAAGGAGCTGAGTTTTACTGGCCAGATGCCTTTCCTGTCACCAATGTGGAGTTTTGTTCAGCAGATATATTCTCCTCGTGCCCAGAGAAATATCTGCCTCTACCTAGGATTGAACTCACAGCCTCCTGATTGTGAGGCGAGAGCTCCACCTATAGGCCACCGCACTACTCAACTAAAATAAATTTTATCTATCCAGTGAATTAATTTAGGCTACTCTATTAACAAGTTCTATGGAATAAGGTTTATTTGATTCACCGGCATTTATTTTTGAGGAGACCTGAACAGTTTTCCACTACTAGCAACATTCTCATTGTCACAGATTTAAAAACATTTGAGGAAGCTTTCCCTATGACCTTGAAAAGATTCAGAATTACATTTATGCAGTATAAGGATCAGTTCATTGGAAAAAAACCAAGCTCCTATCTGCTGTAATCTGTTTTCCAATCTTCTATTATTATCTCATAATCTTTAGACTTCCATTTATCCTGAGTTTTCTGATTTCAAGAAAATCCTGGGTAAATATTAGCTGGGTTCACTCAGCACATTTAATCAAGTATAGTCAGATATACAATATGGTAGGCTTTGTTAGTTTTATCCTTGTTTAGATTTTATTTTGGTAGTAGTTTAGTATGGTATAGGACAACAGACTGTTTTGTGAGATATAATATAGATATATCATCCCAGGAAAATAGAATAATTTGGTAACCACATTGTTTGTTATATCAATACACAAATTTAATGTTTTAGCTAGCCAGTAACTGGAGCCAATAAGGGCCCCTCCATGTATAATGGAAATGACAGAGACTCCTAGTGGTACAAGAGCTGACAGAACATGTCTATTTTTGTATTCAACCCCCAGGAAAAGCTCTTCTGCAAAGTGGACATCTCACAAAAGTGCATCTCTAGAGTAAATATTTTATATGTTACCAAGGAATCAAATAAGAGGAATTGTGGGACTTCGTGGCACTGACCAATATCTCTTAAAATTATCTTCCTAATATTTAGTTGTTGTACTAACCCAGATGGGGAAATCAAGAAATAATAGGGCTTTACATCCAATTGCTAGGCATAAAGTAGCATCTAATTGAAACAGAACAACATATCTGAATACTATTTTTGTCCACTCCACAATACATTCTTTTTGGATATGTTCAAAGTAAACCATCCTTTTTTTCTATTGCACTTGCCCTCAGAATACTATTCTCCCTGAAATTAGATTGTTCTCCACACAGTTGGTATTTCAAAACAGATTAGGAAGTTAGGTGAAGCTATGGGTTATTACTATGCTTCTTGCCATCCTTTTTACACTTTGTTGTGTATTGTTATTTTTTATTTAAATTCTGGACCAAAATTCTTAATCTGTTCCCCATCTAGAGTAGCTTTTGTTACACTGAATAAAATAAATAAAATCAACCCAGTTTTCAGATATATCCAGCACAAAGATTTCCATTCGTGTACAAATCATATGAAAATGTTTATTCTGTGCACAGAGCAATTTGCACATCTTTAGTATGTACATCTCCAGAGAGTTACCTGTACAATGAATTCTGTCCTTGGGTGTCCCTTCAGTCTTGTTATCTGCTGCTATGGAATATATGCTGAATTGATAATTAGTACCAGGATTTAGGTCTGAAATTTCACTGCTAGTAGTTGGGGATATTGTATCAGATGATCCATTGATGAGTATCCTATAAGAGTATGTAGAACGAGCTGCATCAGGACTTTCCCATAATATGTTGACCATGGTTGTACTGACATCTTCAACTATGATGTTGAAGACTGGGCTAGGTCCTGTAAAGGAAAAAAAGTAATTGAATACACACATAAACTTACATGCTCCCAGGGCACTGATGCCATTGTTGTCATAATCATTATCTTCATCTAGCTTATTATTCATTAAAACAATATACCTTAATCAAAATACAGGAGGATAAAGGAAACAATGTAATTTACAAAATCAACTGTAACCATTGCAACCAATTCTACATGGGACAAACATCATATCACACCAGGATCCACAAACACCGGCTAGCAGTCAAAACGCCATGATCCAAAATCCTTACTCACACCAACACCAAACAGCACCAATTCACTTACAGAATACAAAAATCATCAGCCACGCTACCTCCTACCACATTTGTCAGTTCCGCGAAGCCTGGCACTCAACAAGCAAGTCCATCAATGGACACAATGACCTACAACCAGGCTATGAACCTGTCAGAATCCAAACTGCATAGCCAATACGAGACAGCACCCACCCTCAAACAACCCATGCAACCCCCCCCACCAGTTTACCTCTCAATGACCCTGACCTGATGTAACCTCATCACAAAACCCATCACAAGACTCTTCCTGGTGACTCACACCTGACCCATCACAAGACCCTCACTTGAAACACCCACACCTGAAGCCTTTGTGAACAGAAGAAAACCGACACTGACATCCCCTAAATTCCACTGAAGAAGCTACTTAGCCTGGTATCAAAAAATTGGAAACCAACCCAGAAGCTCAGAGAATGAACCTTCATTCTCACCTTAATCATAACCAATTCAAATTTTCATTCTGTACTAATACCAAGTCCACTTTTTCTTCCAGGTAAAAGGAATGGCTTATTAAAGTAGTAGTCTAGAACACAAGATGGCTAACTCACCACCACCCCGCACCAGAGATGGCAATCAGACCCACTCTTAAATTAATTTTTTAAAAATGTAGATCAAGATTCTTTCAAAATGTCAGCATTCTCATGTAATAACACTGAAAATAATCCCTGAAACAAATCATGAGATTTTGGGAGCTGGGAAGAGCTAAAGTAAAGTAAGTATTTAAAACATGTTTTGTATCATTTGTACGAGCTGAAGAGTTTCAAATGTAATTGTATCGACACGAAAGCAGGCTGTATAAAAACAGATTTGTTAGTGGCAAAATGGGCTGCCTTCTGGGAAATGTAGTTTCAATTCCTGCCTCTTTCATTTTGGGCAAGATTCACCAGGTTCATACTCATAGACTCTGGGAAGCAACAAGAGATTATTTTTATTTGTCAAACTATCACCTGTATGATTACTACACTGATTACTGGTTCATTATTCACAATGCAGTAAATGTTTTAGTGTCTGCAAATATAAAGGCTGTGTAAGGTGACTCATATTGTGCCAATGAAAAGCACTAATATATAGAAGAGGTCTGGCTCAAGAATTCTAATAACCATTTTCTTAAATTCTGATGGTGATGTAGGGGGTGACCAGGTTGAATCCTGTCAAACGCATCATTAGTTTTAGAGTCACTCCATTCCCACGAAAGATCTAAATCCTCTTTGAATCCCATTGATTCCTATCTAATGCCATCAGAAGATCAAATACATGTATTGATAGCATGGAATAAAGTTGAGGTACTTTGAACTAAACTCCTGTTCCAAGTATTTGTGCCGAACAGGTACAAACAGTTGTCTTTTGTTTAAACATTTTTTATAAGCAGAATAATTAATGGAGAAATATTATCACCATCAAATTAAGTTAATGTTTGTGCTGAAAAAAGTCAGAAATATGACTGGTTTTTGTGTGGAAAGCACAAAAGAAAAACAGATTTCCACTTTAGAGCAAAAAATATTTTTTAAGCTCCAGCTGTTGAAATTTTTTTACAAATATAAAAATCAATCTCATTCAATCTTGTTTTCTTGAAAACATAATGCAAATGTAAAAAAATACTCTTTGAACATTATATTAACATACTTATATCACTTAATTAAATTAATTTATTTTATTTGTTTACTGATATAAACTGTTTTCTGAGAGATTAAGGTAATGGGTAGATTTGTACTTTCATCACATAAAAATACACTATACATGATGACATGTATGAGAGAAAAATAAAATAATTTCCAATCCCAAATTATTATAGTAACATGTCAAGTAGCATTGTTAATGATATGTTAATACTGCACTAAAATATTATTTGTTTCAGCATGTTAGACTTTGTTTGATTTAACTCCATACTGTACATTTAAAAATAATGCACAGGAAAAAATATATAATTTAATATACTTACTTGTATAAACTGTTGTTTCATTTGGGTCTCCTTCAGTTTCACTGCCATTAATTTGTGCAAATATTTTAAACTTATAAAATCTTCCAGGTTCCAAGTTAGAAATTGGCACATATGTCAATTTAGAAAAGTCGTTAAAAGAAGAAGGTCCATCAATATGTATTCGGTAGGTGTAATTTGATGCATTTGTATCATTATTTTTCCATGTTAAATCCAATGATGTATTAGTGATCTTTTCAGCTTTAATATCATAAACTGGACTGGGTTCTGTTTAAGAAAAAAAAGGCATTATTTTAGATGCTGAAATGATTAAATATTTTGTTACTATCATGGACAGTGAATGCAACAAAGATATAGACACAAATGTGTGAGTTTTCAAACAAAATATATAGGAATACACAGGAGAAAGATACATGAAAAAGAGGCATGGGATTGTATACACAACAATACTCTCTGTCAAACCAGCCAATTATGCCTCGATTTATTGGCAATGAACAGAAAGATCAAAAAGGACATTTCTTTGGGACTATCAGAATATTTTCCCATATACTGTAAGATCAGTAATATATGATATAATATATCTAAATATGTGAGCAAGGCAGAATCACTTGTGAAAACAGTAACAAAACTCAGATTCTCAACCACAGTTCAACTATATCTGTTAATGAGAGAAAAATACATATAAATGAAAAATATTATTTCAATATATTCCACATGTGAAGATTTAAAACACAAGTGAAATTTGGTAAACTTTTAGTACTAATACTTTTTTTTGGCTGTCTGAAATAAAATTTCAGGATATACGTAGTAAAATGTATGTTTGTATGTGTCTGGGTGTTTCTTTTCTACAAATACGCTACAGAGATGGTCAAATGAGGTATTGTGGCAAATGTTGCTATTTGAATAGAGCCTAAAATTCAAATCCTAGCTAGATACCTCACGGAAGAATTTGAAAGCTCTATATAGAAATGTGGGGGAGGAAGTGACTGTAGCATAAAAATTCTTGCCAAATATAATTAATTCCTCTAAATAGAGCATATCTCTGGAAAAGAGATGTATAAAACAAATGGGGGTAGTCCTCGGCTTACAACAGTTCATTTAGTGACCATTAAAAGTTGTAACAGCACTGAAAAAAGTGACTTATGACCGGTTTTTCAGTTACAACCTTTGCATCATCCCCACGGGCATGTGATCAAAATTCAGATGTTTAGCAGCTGACTCCTATTTATGACGATTGCAGTGTCCCAGCATCATAAAATCACCTTTTGTGACCTTCTAACAAGCAAAGTCAATGGGGAAGACAGATTCAGTTAACCACCAGATTACTAACTTATCAACTGTAGTGATTCACTTAACAACTGTGGCAAGAAAGGTCATAAAATAGGTCAAAACTTACTTAACAAATGTGTCACAACAGAAATTTTGTGTTCCATTATAGTTGTAAGTTAACAACTACCTGTAGTAGTGCTTCTGAAAAATACAACTAGTCACATTTGTACAGTTTTCCAAATATATACTCTAATTTAGATGCACTATCTCTTATTCATTTATCTCTTTGGGTTTTTATGCTCCTTTAGTTCCAATATATAGAGGGCCAACATTTTCCACTTTCAATAGGAACATAATGTGACAATGTGATACACTTTTGTACACTTTTTAAAACTGAGGATACCTGCGAATTCTGTGCATTAGTACAGATATTCCTCAACTTATGATCACAATTGAGCCCAAAATTTATGTTGCTAAATGAGAAATTTGTTAAGTGAATTTTGCCCTATTTTATGGCTTTTCATGCCACAGCTGTTAAGTGAATCACTGCAGTTCTTACATTAGTAACATGGTTGTTAAGTGAATCTGGTTTCCCCACTGACTTTGCTTGTCAGGTCGCAAAAAAGTAATCACATGACCCTGAGACAGTGCAACCATCATAAATATGAGTCAGCTGCCAAGCGCCTGAATTTTGATCACATGACCATGGGGATGCTGCAACAGTCGTAAGTGTGAAAAATGGTCATAAGTCACTTTTTTCAATGCCATTGTAACTTTGAACGGTCACTAAGTGAACTGTTGTAAGTTGAGGACTACCTGTACTTGTTGTCTTGCACTAAGCTCCATAATGGCAGAATTTGTCAATTTAATTTCAAATAAATTGCAAATCAAATTGATACATTATCCTAGGACTCATCATAAGTTGAGGACTTCCTGTACAGTCACATCATTTAAATACACTTACTTGTATAAACACTTGTATCCTTTGGATCTCCCTTATTGCCATCAATTTCTGCATATATTTCAAACTTATATAATGTTCCTGGTTCCAAGCCATCAACATGCATATACGGAGTGTTAGAAGTTTTATTCTCAAAATAATTAGTTCCACTAATGTATATTTGATAAGTATAATTAGATGCATTTGTATCATTATCTTTCCACTTTATCTCCAGAGTTGTGGTGGTGACATTTACAAATTCAATATCATACACTGGACTGGGTCCTGTTTAAAAGAAAAAAAAGGCCTTAGATGCACAAATGTTGAATAAATATCGAGACCTCCAGTTTGCTCGTCATCAGAGCAGAATCCATGATCGTACGCATTTTCGCTTGAGCCAACTTGCTGGAGGGTCCTGATTGAGACCAGAACCACCCTGAAGGGGTGGTGAAGAAAGGGGGAATCACCTGGGGGGTTGAAGGGAGCCGCAACTCCCCTCCACGACAGGAAAAACCCCTTCCAAAGGCAAGCTGTAGCAGTGGTCTAAAATGGCCACCACGCAGATGAAGAGCAGTCCTGGAAACTAAGACTGTGTGTGGAGCAGAGAAGAAGCAAGCGGAGTGTGAACCAGGCAAAATACATGGGCTCTAAGGTACCTGGTATTAAAAAATAAAAGACTATTTGGAGGAAAGTGTGGGGAAGCAGCGACCAGAGAAAGTGAGAAGGAATTGGATTTTATAAAATTGGCTTGAATTATTCTAATGGATTAATTTGGAGGCGAAAATTTAAAGGAAAATACTTGAACACGAAAAAGGCTTGGAAATCAATTTGGATAACTATTGGACTTTTGGAACCTAAAAGGCATAATTAAATGCTGGAATTGAATGTGTTGAAAAGAAAATAAATAATAGCTAATAATTGAAATTAGCTATTTGTTTTGATCATCAGAAAATCAAATATGTGAATAGATAGCATGGAATAAAGTTGAGGTATTTTGAACTAAACTCCTGTTCCAAGTATTTGTTCCTGACAGGTATAAACATTTTTATTCCTTGTGTGTCCAATCACACTTGGCCAATAAAGAATTCAGTCATGGAGAAGTATTATCACCATCAAACTACGTTAATGTTTGTGCTGAAAAAAGTCAGAAATATGACTGGTTTATGTGTGGAAAGCACAAAAGAAAAACAGATTTCCACTTTGGAGCAAAAAATATTTTTTAAGCTCCAGCTGTTGAATTTTTTTTACAAATATCAAAGTCAATCTCATTCAATCTTGTTTTCTTGAAAACATAATGCAAATGTAAAGAATACTCTTTGAACATTATATTAACATACTTATATCACTTAATTGAATTAACTTATTTTATTTGTTTACTGATATAAACTGTTTTCTGAGAGATTAAGGTAATGGGTAGATTTGTACTTTCATCACATAAAAATACACTACACATGATGATATGTATGAGAGAAAAATAAAATAATTTCTAATCCCAAATTATTATAGTAACATGTCAAGTAGCATTGTTAATGATATGTTAATACTGCACTAAAATATTATTTGTTTCAGCTTGTTAGACTTTGTTTGATTTAACTCCATACTGTACATTTAAAAATAATGCATAGGAAAAAAATATAATTTAATATACTTACTTGTATAAACTGTTGTTTCATTTGGGTCTCCTTCATTTTCATTGCCATTGATTTGTGCAAATATTTTAAACTTATAAAATCTTCCAGGTTCCAAGTTAGAAATTAGCACATATGTCAATTTAGAAAGGACGTTAAAAGAAGAAGGTCCATCAATATGTATTCGGTAGGTGTAATTTGATGCATTTGTATCATTATTTTTCCATGTTAAATCCAGGGATGTATTAGTGATGTTTTCAGCTTTAATATCATAAACTGGGCTGGGCTCTATTTAATGAGAAAAAGATATTTAAATTAGTGAATATGAAAATATATCATGTAATAGATGCACACAGGCTATTTGGCAGTGATGGCGAAACTTTTTATTGTGGTATGCCAAAAGCACACGTGTGCCGGCACCCACAACGCAATTCACTCTGCCCCCCCCACATGCATGCGCAACACTGCCGTTCTACTCCCTTACCTGCGCTGCACATGTGCACACCTCCCAGCTGATTTTCGGCCCGTTTGAGGCCGTTTTTGCCCTCCTGGAGGTTTGAGGGAAGCCTTTGCAGCCTCGGGAGGCCAAAAAACAGGTCCATTTCAGCATTTACAGAAGACCCGTTTTTCAGCCTCCCGAAAAACGTGCATTGAAAAATCAGCCAGATATTTACTAATTTCTATATTCCCAATGCCCTAATGCTTATTCTGTATCTCTACAAAGACTGTGACCATTTTAGAAGCCCTCTTGCAATGATGTCACAACAAGAGCATTTTTTTTAGAAAAGGTTAATTTCTAGGTGTGGAATGCCAACAATAGAGAATCATATTTGTTCTAATCTTCTGGGCAAAGAAAATAACTTTTGATTTCTTCAGGCCTTTTATTCTTGTATTTTTCATCAAACCTTTTTCCTGCAAATTTACAGGAAATTAATAAATCAATACAATAAACCAAATCTCAAAATATTTCACAAGAAAAATGATGGAATGCAAATATTGCCAAATTCAACTATGGTAATGTGCAAATTATATACCTTAGATGTAGTAAAATATATAGGTAGTCCTTGGCAATGGAACCAAAATTTACATTGCTAAGTGAAACATTTGTTAAGTGAGTTTTGTCTCATTTTACAACTTTTCTTGCCACAGTTATTAAGTGAATCACTGCAGTTGCCAAGTTAGTAACACGGTTGTTAAATGAATTTGGTTTCCACATTGACTTTGTTTGTCAGAGCAAAAGGTGATCACGTGACTCTGGGACATGGCAACCGTCATAAATGCGACCAGTTGCCAAATGTCTGAATGTTGATCATGTGACAATGGGGATGCTGCAATAGCAATAAGTGTGAAAAACAGTCATAAGTCACTTTTTTCAGTGCTGTTGTAACTTTCACTAAGTGAACTCTTGTTAAGTCGATAACTACCTGTACTTATACTTTTCCATGTATAGTATGCTGGAAAGAGTTACATGGTATCCTCTTTTGTTCAACTCTTTATCAGAAATGTGTAATTCTTACCTATAAGGACACATGCAAATAAAATCACACCTAATTGCATATTTTATATAAATGTTTTATGTAATAATGAAATATATACACCTCTTATTTTAATGTACATAGAGTAGAGTAGAGTAGAGTAGAGTAGAGTAGAGTAGAGTAGAACAGAACAGAACAGAACAGAACGGAATAGAATAGAATTCTTTATTGGCCAAGTGTGATTGGGCACACAAGGAATTTGTCTTGGTGCAAATGCTCTCAGTGTACATAAACAAAAAGATACATTCATCAAGAATTAATCATACGGTACATACAACACTTAGTAATAGTCATAGGATACAATAAGCAAACAAATCTAGGAAACAGTGAATGTAAATCGTAAGGATACAAGCGACAAAGTTACAGTCATACAGTCACAAGTGGGAGGGGATGGGTGATAAGGAATATAAACTTACTTGTATAAACATTTATTCCATTAGGATCTCCTTCAGTAGATCCATTGAGTTGTGCATATATTTTAAACTTGTATAATGTTCCAGGTTTCAAGTACATAATTGATACATAGATAGTATTAGAAGTTTTATTATCAGAATGATCAGGTCCATCAATCTGTATTCGATAAGTGTAACTTGATGAATTTGTATCATTATTTTTCCATGTTAAATCCAGGGATGTATTAGTGATATGTTCAGCTTTAATATCATATACTGGACTGGGCTCTATTAAAGAGAAAAATGCTTTTACATACTGAATGATAATCAAGATTAAATATTTAGCATTTTTTTCTGTGGGGTTAAAAATCAATATGTAAAATGCAACTTTTTAATTCACACAACATACAGTATGTCTCTAGTTAATAATTTTATTTGACAAATTAGGAACTTATTATGTTATAATATTAATGCTTTGGGTGTTGACTCAAAAGCTGGCTCAGTTTAAGTAAAACAATTTTTTGTTTCTTTCAAACTATCTTGGATTAGGAATATAATCCTAATGTACCAAATTGTCAATTAGACTGGCAGATACAAAACTCTATTTAGGTTTTCAAAAACCATATGTAAAATAAACTGTGAAAGACACATGGAATAATAATTTGCCCATTTATTCTCCACCTGCACCCTCCAATTGTATTTGCCTCGATTTTATTTCATTTTTATTTCAGTTTCCTGCCACTGAACAGAAAGATGAGAAAGAACATATCTTTTTTGTCAGTTGAAACATAATTTTTCAAATAACTACTACCCTAGTGCTACAATATTCTCAACCATACAGAAAATTCTAAGCTCACTCAACCCAAATACCTGAGATTCCACATTTATTATGATAGGATTAGGCCTGATGTGGCAAGTCAGTAAGAAGCACAAGATACTCCTCCAAGATAAATCCACTTTTGTGGCATTGATGTTTATAAATATAATGCCAAACATGGAGTATTTTTGTTTTAAGAAAGAAAGGAATGGGCTTGTTTAATCAAAAAACACAAAATATTGTAACCTAGATTTAACATATGGAAAAGTTAAACAAAATAAAAACATCCAAGTAAGAGTCAAGCTAATTGCATTGTTAATTTAATGTACTTACTTGTATGAAGACTTATTTTTCGTGTGTCTCCTGTAATATTGGTCCCATTTATTTGTGCAGCTATTTCAAAGCTATATAACGTTCCAGGTTGCAAATGACTAAGTGTTATATTTCCAGTATTAGAAAACATATCACTATGAAAATCAGATTCTTTCTTAAGTATTTTGTAAATATAGGTAGAAGCATTTATATCTTCATTGTTCCAAGTCAGAATTATTGATGTGGAATTGAGATGGTTAGCATGGATACCAGAAACTGGACTGGGTTCTGTGAAAAAAAATAAAATTACTTTTTACTTTTAATCCTCCAAGGAAAGATTGAAGACAAACAAGGTCCAGGCAGAAGATGACGATCATGGCTTCAAAATCCAAGGGACTGGTTTGGACAAAACTCAACAGCACTTTTTCATGCTGCTGTTGATAAAAACAAGGTCGCCAACGTCCAATGACGAATATGGCACAAGAAGTAAATAAAATAAAAATATATTGATGTCGTGCATAAAATGTTAACAAGAATCCAAGCACATCTGGAATTAATAAAATTAATTATATACTTATGTTCTTATCTCCATAAAAAGAGTTTACATTTAGTTTTAGATGGTGATAAAGAAGAGTGATATAATAATGATTGAAGCTCATTTGATAGCCATAAGCATTAATTATTACAATAACTTCACTTAAATAAGTTTACTTACTGGTATGAACAACTGTTTCATTTGGGTTTCCTTTAGTCTTACCACCATCTACTTCTGGGTAAATTTTAAATCTGTATGACGTTCCAGGTTGCAAGTTACTGATTAGCTCACTCCATTTATTAGAACTTTTAATAACAAAATCACCAGGTCCATCAACAACTATTTGGTAAGTGTAACTGGATGCATTTTTATCATCATTTTTCCAACTTAAGTTCAATGTTGTGTTGGTGATATTTTCAGCATGAATACTATGAACGGGACTTGGCTCTGCTTAAGAAACAGAAGCGACGTTAGCCCCTTCTCAGTGAGCTGCAACGAGCATCCAGAGAGTGGGAGGTGCTTAGTCTCTGCTCAGATAGGCCAGGCTTAATTACTAGGATGCTGTTACTCCTCCCTGGCTTCTCCCTAGCATCCCCCAGTTTTGGCAAAGATGAGGTGATGCAACCCCCACCCTCTCTATTGTCATGCTTGTTTGTTCATTTTTAAAAAAAACGTATATCCAGATTAGTCATTGGCCGGAACAGGACCCCATCAGACTGATATTCGGTGGGGCTGGATGCTCCTTGCAGCTCACTGAGAACGGGCGTATCAGGTAAGTACCAACACCTCTTCTCCACTGAGTTGCTCTAAGCATCCAGAGAGTGGGACATACTAAAGCTTGGCTTGTCCTATGGGAGGGTCTCCGTCTGGGTTGGAGCCCCTGCACTGTCCGAGTGGACTCATTGTAACACCCTCCTACCAAAGGAGGCTTCGGCAGAAGCAAATACATCAATTTTGTAATGCCTAATGAAAGACAATGGGGAGACCCATGTTGCCACTCTACATATTTCTGCTATAGGAGCTTGCGTGGCCCAGGCTGCTGAAGTTGCCACGCACCTTGTTGAATGCACCGTGATGCCTCTAGGCACTGTTAATGATTGAGTCTCGTACGCCTTGGCTATCGTGACCTTCAGCCACCTGCTTATAGTTGAAGGTGAGACCTTCTGCCCCTGAGTAGTTGGCTAAAAAGATACAAAAAGGGCTTCAGTCTTCCTGAAAGGAGTCGTTCGATGTAAGTACATACGGAGAGCTCTGCAGACATCTAGTCAGTGCCATTGATGCTCTAGGCCCTGAGAAGGCCTGGGGCAAAAGTTTGGGAGGACCAGTTCTTGTGCCCTGTAGAAGGCAGAATTAACTTTTGGTGTGAATGTGGGGTCTGGGTGAAGAATCACTTTGTCAGTATGGAACATACAGAGGTCCTTTTGGGCCGATAAAGCTGCTATTTCTGAGATAAGTCGTGCTGATGTTATAGCTATGAGAAAAATACCTTGTATGTGAGAAAATGGAGACTAGTAGTTTTCAGAGGTTCAAATGGACTCTTCATGAGTGCTGTGAGTACCTTGTTAAGGTCCCAGGTCGGGTAACGATGTATCACTGGCGGATATAAATTTGTGGCGCCCCTAAGAAAACTCTTTATCCGTGGGCCAAACACAGCAGTACCTTTGTCACCCAACCAATTCAATAAATGACTATCCCGCAATTGAGCGGTGGGTATGGGAGAATCAGGGCTCCAACGCCCCCACTCCTGCATTCTCCATGGGGAGGAATCGCCGCTGGCGAAGTATGAGAAAAAACACACTCGTTTTAAACAGCGCGAAAACGTTCGGAAATGCAATGGCAAGGGGCACCGAGGATCGCTGGAGCGAAGCACAGGGGAAAACTCGTCCTCTGAATTAGTGCAATTGCCTAATTAGAATGGCAGGATACTAAGCCTCTGCCTAATGGGTGCGAATGGGGCCAGAATGCCGATGGCGATCCGGGATTGTTCCTACTGCTTCTCTCTCTAATTGCAGTTGGATCTTGCTGAGGAAATTTAGGAGAAAATCAGTATATTTGACAAACTAATCAAACCTCAAAGTTGTTCCTGCTCCGGCCAAGGAAAACTGCCTATCGAACCAAAGGCTGAGCTAAAACTGGGTGACACTAGGGAGGAGCCAGGGAGGAGTAACAGCGTCCTAGTAATTAAGTCCAGCCTATCTGAGCAGAGACTAAGCACCTCTCACTCTCTGGATGCTTGAAGCAGCTCAATGGAGAAAACAATTTTCTTTGATCATAGTATTAAAATCTTATAATGTTATTACTAACCCAGATTACTATTTGTTACTTCTCTTTTTCACTGTTTCTAGTACTGTGGTACCATTTTAAGGTATGGCAATTAAAAGGATGTTTAATATTATTACAATTTTAAAATGGCATGGCCATTTTATCATCCATATTAAGACTTTAGAAGCAGAATGTAGTAAACAAATTTAACAAATTAATCTATGAGGCTCATGTTACCATGACATATTGAAAAATGATCATAAAATTCCAGCAACTACTATGTATCAAATGCAAGCCCTATTTACTATAAAATCAAGATTTAAATTCTTGCACATTTTTTGTCCTGTGCAAGATCTTGTTGAATGGAAGGGAGGTTTCCATCTGCCCCTTCTTTAATAATGGAAAATCTATTTGCTTCTGGACTTCCAGGGAAGATAGTGGGCTGAAGATGGTTCTGTGGAAAATGGAGCTGATATTTGCAACCACAAACAGGAAGCCTACAAAGAGATTGTCTACTCTGGACAGAGAAAGGACTTGAGATTGCCCAAGCTGTTCTCCTTATAGTTGTTCCTCAATGAGGAGACCACACTCCAGAGGGTGGGAGAATCAGGAAATGAAGGAATTCATTGCAATTGCTCCAAATAGAACCTTTTTAATGGATTCACAACAAGTTCTAAGATCACATTTAGAAAACTGCTAAAACAGAGAGAGCCAAGAGAAAGGCTGGCTTTCATTTCTTTCGGTGGAAATTCATTGAGTAACAATGCAACAAACAATGACCTAACAGAATAAATAGAAGAGATTTATGAGTCTGAAAGAATGTTAGTTTTACCATTCCTACCCCAGTTTACTAACAAATGCTATAAAACTAATAATGGGTTGGAGTGACAGACAGGAAGCTTTAGATCTAGTTTAGGAATTTCCACTAGATTAACAGGGGAGTTGGTACTTTGTAACAGTTTTTCCACCTTACCTTCCAGTTCCCTATTGCTTGTTTGATTATATGTCATCAAATGGGTGTCAACTCTTAACAACCACACATTTGTTTCATGATGATCCATCAGGTCTTCCAATGGTTTACTCACCACCACTTAACTGTTTCTGAGAGATGGAGCCTCTTCTGGAAGAGTCTCCCATCTCTCAGAATTAAGAGCTATTAAGGGGAAGAGGATGAGAGATTCTTCTGCCAGCAGAAGTTTCTGAGCCAAACTATTAGGGGATAGACAATAAAAACTCTACAGTTCACACACCAAAATCCTTGGAAGTTAGAACACAAACAGTTAATGAATGGTTGTATCAACAGATACTGTAGGTGGGCGGCAGTTGTTTAAGTAGATGGATTCTGATTTGCTGTGTGCTAGAACATAACAGCTAATTCAAAACCTTTCTTTGGCCAATGTTAATTATGAGAATCACTTCTCACACAGTCAGAAGCAAATAGCCTGATACTAGATCAAGCTAGTATCAAACAAGTAGATATTGTTTCTCCCCACCCAGTAGGAGACAATATGTGTAGCTTAGGCTTGAACAATGGAACCCATGGTGCTCTCTGAGAGCACCAAGACTCCAAAGAATGGCTTATCTGATTAAAATATGTTGGTAGAGGAAAAGATAGAAAAATCTGAACTTTGACTGCATTATAAATAAGGCTTGCACTGAAAAAAAAAAAAACTAGTTCCTGGAATTCTTTCACAATGGCTTCATGAACTTTGCTACAATATATCTACTTATCAAACATTTGGTATCTTTGCAAGTCTTAATTTTGCGTAGATAGCCAAAGGAAGTCTGATAGTATGCGATTCTGGGTCAGCTGCCCCAGAACCACAAACCCTGGTGGTTCTGTTCACAGAATCTTTCTTTCCAGCCTCTGTGTTATTTTCAGCCTCTTTCTCCCAGCTTTGGAACTGAACTAGATGGATTTTACTTCCATCACCCACTATACATTTTTTATCTCATCTTAAAATTTAACAATGACAATCCTATCAGAATGATCTTGAAAACTAATTTTGTGGAATTTCTAATCCATTACTTACTTGTAAAAATATATTTGCAGCAACTTTCATTAGGATTATTGAAATGAACAATATACTGAATACCAGGATAAAGGTTAGATAGTGAATTATTCTCGGAAAGATCCACCTTTGATTTATTTTGAAAAGTTACATTTGTTATTGTAAAGTTGTTATTTAACTGGATCCATATTGTTCTGTCTGTTACTGTTAGGTTGTTTAAGGAACTGCATTCGGAATCACCTACACAGAAAAAGAAAGAAAAAGAAAAAGATACTTTTAAATAACCAGATCTTAGTAACATAGTGCAACATTATTCTTTATTAACTGGTGGGAGGAAACAGTTTATAATTTATACAAGCTCCAGATATCATGAATTGCACAAGGGATGTTGCTGTTAAGATTAGGAGGCACTGATGGACTGTTAATGCGTTTTTCATTAGACAGTTTGCAAAGGATATAAGGATATAATGCAAAGAGTGAGTGAACAGGCTATGCTACACCCTCATGGATATTCCACTGCTTCAAATAGTAAAATACTGGTTTAGGTAGTACAAAGCCAATGTATCAAGATTCATAAATGTGATTTATTTAGTGTAGGTGAACCCAATCAACTGTAGTTCTCAATTTACAACCACTTATTTGGTGACTGTTTGAAGCACTGGAAAGTCACTTATGATCATTTTCATATGTATTGCAGTAGCACCAGGCTCACAGAATAAATATTCAGATGCTTGGCAATTGGCACATATTTATGACATATAAAATGGGCAAAACCCACTTAACAACTGCCTTGCCCAAAACATAAATTTTGGGCTCACTTGCAGTTGTAAGTTGAGAACTATCTGCAGTTTATTTTAACAAACATGCTTAATCAGAGCTTAGCTTACTATATAAGCCTGGTCACCATCTATACCTGTATAAGAAGAAGTTTATAATGTGACCCTTTCAACATCTAATAAACTTGTTATGGTGAAGAGCAATGTATTTCAAATTATAGGTTAAATACAACAATCTTTCCTAGATTCCTTATAGAAGTATGTGGTTTTAAGTATTTATACAAATAAGAATCATCAGTGTTGATTCTGGGAAAACCTTTAAGCATAATACTGAAAGTGAGATATATAACAGCATAGTACTTACATGCAGCAGTGAGTTTTACCTGTAAAACAAGAAATCATAATGTTAGAATATTTTGAATCTGTATACAAGGGACTACACTAATACTAGTTGTATTAAATGGAATTCAGATTCAAATGTAATATGTTTCCATTTGAGTGACATCCAGTTAAATTATTAGTTGCAAATGTCAAATTTAATTCTATGCCATCAAATGGTTGAACATTACTGAATAGTGTTAACTGAAACCATCCAGTATAGATAATCCTCACTTATTGACTGCAATGGGGACCAGCAACTCTATCACTAAACAGTGTGATTGTTAATCATGATGTCATGTGGAAGCCCTGACTTATGACTTCAATACCAGTCATGTAGTTATTAAACAAATAAGTGTGGGTCATTAAGTGTGATGTCACACAACTGTGACTTGTGACTTTCTACTGGTTTTCTCAGTGACTTTCTTTGTTAAAAGCCATCAGGGAACATTGCAAATGGTGATTACGCAACTGTAGGACACTGCAATCATAGTAAATATATGTGGGTTGTCAAACTGCAATCATGTAACTATGGGGACACTGCAACTTCAAGGACCAGTCATCAGTCTTATTTTTTCAGGGCCATTGTAACTGAATAGTAGCTGAACAAGTGGTCAGTTAGTGAGAACTACCTGTATTGTAAATAAAAATTTCATGTAATAATCAAGTGGTAGGAATACATATTAGCCATAAATTCTAGAATAAGAAGTCACTTTACATTGAACATAAAACTTGCCTCTGTATGATCTAAACCAGGGGTGTCAAACTCAATTTCATTGAGGGCTGCATTGGGGCTGTGTTTGACCTCAGAAGGCTGGGCTGGGTGTGGACAGCTTGATGTCAGTTGTGTCGGGGCACCTATGGTGGACCGAGCGCTGTGCCAGCGAAAATGGGCTCCAGAGTTCCATTTCGGGCTGCAAAGGCCTCCTGCAACCCTCTGCCAGTGAAAAGAAAGCTTGGGAGGGCTGCACACGGCCCTCCTGAGCTCAGTTTTTGCTGGTACCACGGGCCCGTCCTTCACTGTTTCCAGAGCAGCCCAACAGGCCACATCTTACCACCCTGTAGGTTGGATCCAGCCTGCAGACCTTGAATTTGACATCCCTGATCTAAACTGCAAAGATAGCTCTCCATTTCTCTTTCTTCATAAACGATAGTCTGGGTCCTGATAACACTAAATATACACAACTATGTATAGTGACACCTACAATTCTCAGCCCAGCAAAGGTCATTCAGGGCCTCATAATGAAACTCAGAGTTTATAAGCTCTCTAAGCAAAGTACCGCAAATACATAAAAACGTCCATGTTTCTGGTCTTATATAAATTGGGCATTTCGCAGTTTTATTACTTCAGATAAATTGTAACTCAGAAATATTGTAGATTCTGCAGCAGTATTGAAAGCCTAGGAGTTCCTTATATAAGGGCTTTAACATTCTTAAACTTATCTGAACATTGTCTCTAAAAACACAATTAATCTGCTTTTCCCCAATCTGTATTTGCTATTGAAAAATTACTTTCACATTTGATTTAGTTCCTGCTTCCATGAGGTAATGTGTTAAAGAGAATGATCCATGCACATTCAAATATATTAATAGTATCATTCATATTTCACAAGGCACACAGGACACTGGAAATTATCACATGTATTACTGATAGAACACCACAAGAGGTCAGAATAAAACCATAAATGCAGTGAAAACAAATTAATAAACTTAGTATTGATACATTTCTATATTGCCTTTCTCTTTCATTAAAGGGGGATCATCATTGCGTTCTTTCCTATTCAGCAATGCATTTTATTCAACTTTGATTAACTTCTAGGATTTACTGCATTAACATTGCAAAGTTAAATCTTATCTCCAACTCCAAAATCCCTCATACACATGGTTTGAATTTTGAAACCACTGATTTACTCATTCAATTTACCACTTTTATCTTGGCTTTTCATTTTAAAGCAACAAATAGAAGAATGTTAATATAATAAACTGTATCACTTTGCCAGGGATCAGAAAATTTCACATTTTATGCGTCAAGAAAAAAGATGCTTCCTTATCAGCTCTCATCAGCCTTTAGATTTCTGATATAATCCAATGATTTGGCTAAGAAGCGGGTTAGTTATGCCTATATCAGAAAGTTAAACCCAATCTTTGTCTATATAAATGAAAAAGTCAGTGCCACCTACAGGTAGGTTGATTTTTTAAAAAAATCTTTGTTGTTTTTAAATTAAATTGATTGATTTGTTGTTTTTAAATTAAAATACCTGACTTTTGCACAATATTTTGCTCTCTTAAAGGTGATTATACAGTGGTACCTCAGTACTCAACTGCTTTGAAAACTCATTGAATTTGTTCTTCAATGCATTTTGATGCAAACATTTTATCCCGGTACTCTTTGATACTCAACATGCAAGCTAGAAACTTGTTGGTATCAGTTGCCTTGTGACTCACTACCCAAGGTCAAGCATTAGTCACATGGTTTGTTTGGTATCAGCCGCTTTCAGCGCTCATTGTGTCTCCGGGAAACAATTAACAACGAATACCTAAATACCACTGTATTTGAAAGGATAGGAACTATACCCCTGGCACCATTTTTTTAGTTATTAATTAGTCACTTTTAATACAGGTAGAACCAGTCGCTTAGCGACAAATTGAAATTACGATAGACACGCCCCCCCCAAGCTACTTATCATCTGGTTTCAAAGTTATGACTAGTATAGTGCCCATATGGTCATTCAACATTGCACCAATCACTGGGATGCTGCAACACTGCTCCCCCATGCCTGTTTCCGCTGCCCATACTACCTCACCAGATCCCTACAGGCCTTTGTCCTGCTCCCAACTCAGCCACCTAAGGGAGCCTCAAGCCAGCTGCAGAGGCTACAGAGTCCTGTGAGGCTATTGCAGCTTGCAAGCCTCAGCCTGCTTTCAACACAGCCAGAGGAGCCTCTCTGCATGGCCCAGTGAGAAGCAAATGTCTGCAGCAGTGTTGAAGTTCAATATTTTTTATTATTGGTTCTGTGGGCGTGGCTTGGTGGGCGTGGCAGGGGAAGGGTACTGTAAAATCTCCAGTCAGAGGTGGTATTTGCTTGTTCTTCAGAACAGGTCAGAATCTGCTGAATACCACCTCTGGTCTGCAGGCCCAGAGATGGGGAAGAAGGCCCAAGGCCTGCAAGGATCTTAAGGGGTGGAAAGTAAGGCATGGAGTGCCTCAGGGGATAGTGGAAGTTTTGGAAGGCCTGAAGCAAGCAAGTTTGGCCTCCTTGGGTCTCCCCTCCCCTTGCTCTGCTTAACTAATATATTGGGAGTGCATGCGTGGGGGCCATTATGCAAGAGGATCACATGGCTTCTTCACTGAACGACTATCATGACTTGTGACCATAAAGCCCAGGCTCCATTACAATCATAACTTGAGACTATCTGTATTTTGTATATAAAGAGCAATACAGAAATGTGTGTGTGTGTGTGAGGGGGGAGCCAATTCTGGATTTGCACAGGATAAACTGGATTGCGTAGTTTGTGGTTCTGTGTGTTTTGTAAGGTCAGCCTTTTACTTCATCATGTTGTGTAAATTAGTCCTTATTGTAAGTCATAATATGTGCTTATTTGTGGCACAGCGCGTTAGGTATATGAAGAAAACGTGCACTGAATTTCATTTTATCATGTTGTACGTACACAGCCACCATGTACTTTTCCAGTTACTCCTACTTCAGTGACTTCAAAACAATGTCACCTCTGACTTGTGGGCGGAAGGGTGAGGTGACTGTGAACTTGCTGTCATTTCTAAGAATGACTGCCTCCTTTACAAAATGCCTTCTACCCCAGAGACAAGGTTAATAAGGAAATTTATCTAGGCTACACTGGTAAATTAATTAGGGGTGGAAGGGGGGAAATCAATAGAAAGGGTATGGACCTGAGATAAAATAGATCTGATATTATAGTAGTCGAAGTATTCCTGATATTCTGCTTTGTGCTTGTGTATTTTCACTGGACAATTCCCTTCTCAACATCTTCCTTCCCACAGTAGCTTTCCATAACCTCATAATTGTTAAAGAGAGTGTTGCAAGACAGTATTTTTACTGCTATTTGCAAGCATCTAGCATTTAAAGTGATTAAAAAGGTTATCTGCTGTCATAGGCTATATGTTATCTTCCCAAACTGTAACCGAAGAACATTTTGTCCAGAAAACTCTTTTATGTAGTAATTCTTTTTATTGCATAACGTATCATTTACATATGCATTAACTTACTTTGTTTATGGTATCTCTTCTAAATTTAGTAAGTTATTAACTTATTTGCACAGGGAAGTTTTAATGCATCTTTTTGAAGAACATGATGATTGGTTTAAGCTTCAACACAAGCTTTCTTTTCTCCATAACCAAATATACATACTCCTGTCAACGTAAGACATTTCAGGACCATAAAATATGGTTTTACATTCTGTAAACCGCCTCGAGTCACCATGGGCGAATAGGCGGCAATATAAATAAAATAAATAAATAAATAAACAAAGTCTTTAAAGCAATGCAGAGTACAATAGTTCTTGACTTCAACTTTTTATTTAGTGACTATTGAAAGTTACAGCAGCACTTAGAAAAAGCAACCTATAACACATTTTTTCACATTTACAATGGTTGTACATACCCAGGGTCACATGATCAAAGTTCAGACACTTGGCAACTGACAAATATTTATGGTGGTTACAGTGAACCTGGGTCACGTGATCACCTTTTTGTGCAGGGGTGGGATCCCACCGGTGCAATTACTGGTTCAGTGATTTTGCGTGCTGTATATCATCGTCATCTAGCTGCCTGGACAGCTGAGCAGCACTGCACGTGTGTGCGCAGCAGTTGAAAAAGCACTTTTTCCCTGCTTTTTCAACCGCAGCTGTGTCGCGCAAAGCAGCTGCGGTTGAAAACGCAGAAAATAAAGGTCAGGTAAGAGCCCGGGCAGGCGGGTGGGCCAAAACAGCAGCAGACATAGAACCGGTTCTATGTATATTGTATGCTCTC